CTGAGAATCATGGCCTAGCTAAGTTGACACACATTTTTGGGGGATACAATTCAATCCATAACATCCTACCCTTGAGCCCCCTAAAATTCATGTCCTTGCCACATGTAAAACGCATTCACCCCATCGTATCTTAGCAAAAGTCTTAAATCAACTCCAAGTCCAAAATCCAAAAATTCCTCTTCACCTGTGAAATCTACAAATTATCTGCTTCCAAAGTACAATGATGGAACAGGCACAAGGTAGACATTTCCATTACAAATGGGAAAAATTGGAGGGAACGAATGGATAACAGGCACCAAGCAAGTCAGCAGAACATATTACATTAGCCCTCCAGGCTTGAAAATAATCCTGTTCTCTGAGACCATTTAGGCAATGGCCCTGTCCCCCAGGCCGTGGGTGTTGGCCACACTTTCCAGCTTCTGGATGGAGGCCCCTCGGCCATGGGCTTCAGCTCCGCCTTCCAGGCCCACAGGAATGGCAACTCTGCTGCCTCGCATTTGGGCAGCCCCATTCTCCTGGTCCATCTGAGTGGCGACCCTTCCCCCTCGGCACCAGCAGGCCCTGTTCTTTTGTCCACCGTTCAGTCCTTAACACTGGGTAATCCTCAGTTTCCACTCAGTCTTCCATCCCCACTGCCACTTGGTGATCGTTGTCAGTTGCCTCAAGTCGATTCCTACTCATGGTGACCTGATTTGACCCCATGTGTGCAGAGTAGAACTAGTCTATTGGGTTTTCAAGGCTGTGATCTTTTGGAAGCAGATCACTAGGCCTGTCTTCTGAGGTGCCTCTGGGAAGGTTTGAACCACCAACTTCCAGCTGGTAGTTGAGTGCATAGCTGTGTGCACCACCCAGGGGCTCTCTCCCACTGCCAGTGGGCTCTAGTATTGTCTCTGCCTTCAGTCTTGTTCCCCCAGTGTTTTCTTCCACTTGGCTGTCAGAGGGATCTTTCTAAAATTCAGCTTTGACCATGTCGTTCTTTTCAGAAGATCCAACTCTTGCCAAAAACAGATCCGCCTCCTTAGCTGGATGCCTGGTTATCACCGAAGGTGGTGATGTGTCAGAGAGGATGTCCAGTTTCTTTAATGGCCAAGGATAAGGAGACTCTTAGAAACCTCATGTTACTTCATATCTGAAGCTTTTCTGGTGGTGGTTACTCTGGCTGGAATGCCCTGGGTGTTGACTGTTAAACCAAAAAAAAGAAAGGACCAAACCCATTGCCATCAAGTCGTTTCCGACTCCTAGCGACCCTATAGGACAGAGTGGACTGCCCCCTAAGGTTCCCAAGGTTTCCGCTATGCCACTAGGCTTTCCTGTTATCTCTTACTTGACATTTAAATGTAGTTCAGGTATTATTTTTCCCCCCAGGAAATGTCATCGCCACTATTCCCGTTTAGGTTAGGTACTTTCTTCCGTGTTCCTGTACCTTCCTTTGCAAAACTGTCATAATCTATGAGTTCTATGGAACACCGTTAAAAAATATTCTGGAATAAGTGTTCCATATCAAACGCGTCTGGGAAAAAAACAAAATCAAGCAGTTTACTCTAGAATTTCTCCAAGCCTTTAATATGCCAAAGTGCGTCAGTGATCTTACAGAAGCTCTTCTCAACAGAGCGCTGAACCATTCATTTATTTGAAGTATTTATTTTAAATTTCCAGTTTCTTAATTTTGCGCTTTCCTTTCAGTATTGTCTGTGTGTGTATGCAAATGCTATTTTCTTTTGTTTCTCTGAGGGTATTAATTACATAAATTAATAGTCTTCTCTTTGCTCTATATTAACTCTGTTTCCTTGAGTGTTGGGACTTTTTTGTTTGTTTTGTTGAGTTTGATACATGCCTTTCATGGTTTTGTTGTTTTCAAATATCTAGTGACTCCTGGTAATGTTCTGTGCTTGAGGTTCCCCGTGGACTTGGTTGTGGATGCTTACTCTCTTTACCATAGCCTGTGTCTGGTGATTAAAGGAAAGATCGCCTCCTGTGGGGCAAGCTGATAATTTGTCCTAGGGGTTAGCGACTTCCTGAGGCACTTGCTTAGAGTCTACCTCATTGTTTTATTCTGGGTGCTGCTCTGCTGCTTGGGAAAAGGGAGAGTTAACAAGCCTACCTGCTGCGCTCCATACGTCTCCTCATTTATTACCCTGAGAAATGCTCCTGCCCCTCCTCCCCACTCTTGGTTTGCCTTGACCTGGCTCAAGGGCTTGGAGGACGTTTAGGCTGCTCCTGACTTTACTGTTTGGGCTGTGGGAAGTTCCTGCATTTACTTTCTCTGTTCTTTTTCCCATTTCCGTCCTTAGATCTGATCTCATCTTTTTGTCTTTATGTTTGCGGAGTTCCTCAAAATTTCTCACCTGCTTTTGGTTCTGTTTGCTTACTAGCACTGTTATGTATTTGCTTTTAAAAAATCTGTTTTGATATCTCATAGAGATTTAGATAGAAAAGAAGAGTTGTCTCTTCTCCATCTACCGTCTTTATCTAAGCATCTGAATCCTTTATTTTCAAGGTACACCTATAAACATTACTTGAGTTCCCCCACACTGTGGGAAATGCATGATAATGACTATGCTGAAATGATCTTTTTTAATCACTTGACTTTCTCATCAGGCCATGTGAGACTTCAGAGCAGGACCGTACTATATTCATCTCTGTATTTCCATTGCTTTGCAAGATGATGCTTGATATTTGGTAGCTGTTTATTTGAACTGAGTTTTACTATGAAATCCAAGTTTATAAACGAGGAGATGATGATTGTTTATTCTACAAAAGGAATCTTTCAATATAATGCCTCTATTGCATTTCATGGTCTATTTGTTTACTGTTTTGGGGATAATTAAATAAGGGTGCTAATTAATCACAAATTCTGATTAACAGAGTTTTATCTGTTGTTCTAGCTCTTTTAGCCACAAATTCAGAGCCATGGAGGTAAAACCATAAAAATTTTCTTCTCTTATAAAACTTAGAAGATAAAATTATTAATGGAAATACATTTAAATTTTCTCCTGTGATTACAGTATTACTTTAAATATAAATAATGTAAGATGTATAGTTACATCCGAAGGAGTACCACCTTCAGCATAAAAATATGGCTACAAGAATGTTTTTCAGAGCATAGGTTTATAATAGTAAAAATTGGAAACAATCTAAATACCAATCAGCAGGGAATAGGTTAAAGAATAGTATGACCATACAGTAGAACACTCTGCAGCCATTAACAGAATTGTAAAATAAAGTTTACTGGTTTAAAAAGTTAATAACAATAAATTATTGAGTGAGATAAGAGCGAGTTACAAAATTAAATGTGTAGTGTCATTCTATTTTTGTCGTAAATAAAACTGTGAAGGTAGATTGGAAGGTTATGTACCTATATGTTAACTATAATTGGGGATATGCAGTCATGGTAATTTTTATGTTCTCTTTACTTGGTTTTGTTTTTTACAATGAGAATAAATTCTTTTTGGAATAAGTTTTTAAAAAAAGTTATGAATAGCAAAATATTCAAAATCTCTTTTGTATTATATCCAGGGAATGATTCTTGTTTTAATTAAGTGAAACGATTAAATATTTGCCGTACTGCCTAATGCAGCTAATCAGAATGCACTTCTACATTTTGAGAAACAAAGATTGAGCAAACAGTTGTCTCAGTACACAGTTTATAGTGCTAATCTATTAAAATCTACAGTCTTTATAATTTGACAACCATACATTTAACTTGCATGCTAACTTTAGACAGATTCTTTCCTAAGCTGCAGTTGAGCTATTGCCTTGAATTCTTATCACATCAAACTTGTTTAAAGATTGTAGAGACTGAGTATTACAACAGGATGACTCACTTGAACTCTGAAAGTAAGCAGGAACATTAGAACTCCTCTGTTTCCCGCTTGGAATTCCATAGTTATCTAAAAAGGTTTGAATACCTGCATATCTAATAATGATCATAAAAAATGATTAGTAACATATAAATTGTGTTCATCATGAGCACTTTACATTTATTGACTCACAACAACCCATTGAGGAAGTTACTAACTTCCAATAAGAAAACCAAGGCTGGAAAAGTAACTTGCTCAAGGTTGGCGTGCGAGTGAGTAGACTTTCACTTTTTTCCATCCTTTTAGATTTTCCTTTCAGTCCATCCTTCACTTTAGCTTAGGAGTTCTCAAACTTTATGTAAGAATTCTTATATATAAGCTGCATACCAAAAACTGCATAAACTTTATATAGGATTTTCAAGAGTAATTTTGACTCTAAAGGATTTCATTCCAAGAACTAATCTTAGAATCTAATCATCTCCCCATCCTTCATAAATACGATAGGATTTCACTATATGGAGAAATGCAATGTACAAACACACACACACACAAAGAATACAGAGGAAGTTTAGCATTTTAGAGTTCAAGTAGCAGCAGGCAGCAGCTACTCCTGCATTTAGGGCAAATTACAGACCATAGGTTATCCCTTTCTACCAAAGGGCTCACAATTGCTTCTACTACTGATGAATTGGATAAAGTATAGTAAATCAGTCTGGCATTAATACAAGAATTTCCCTTGCCTCTTTACTTCAACATCTGCCTGCCCATTTGGATATTTCATAATGTTGTTGTTGGTAGTTGCCATCCAGTTGACCCCAACTCATGGCAACCTGTGTGTAACAGAACGGAATGTTGCCCGGTCCTGTGCCGTCTTCTCGATTGTTGGGATGTTTGAGTCCAGTGTTGTGGCCATTGTGTCAGTCCCTCTCATGGAGGGTTTAACCTCATTTGCACTGACCCTCTGCCAAACATGATGACTTTTTCTAGCTATTGGTCTTCCTTGATGATGTGTCAAAATTTGGTAAGCCTTTCTAACTGTAATGTTTTCTTTCTTAAGATACAAGTTTTACTGGCAGCCCAGATTCTGTGGATAAATTAAAGTAACTGAGTTTTAGTAGCACTAGCATTTAACATTTGTTTTTAGCATTAATGGTTTTATAACTTTGGATAATTTGTTTCTTTTCAAATTTTTTCCTATAGTATAGCTGAAATACAGAAAGATGTGGAATACAGATTACCATTCACCGTAAACAACCTGACAATTAACATTAATATGTGAGTAGAATTGTATTCTATTTTGTCATGTAATAGGACTTTTGAAAAAATCTGTTTTCTGTTTCTTAGTTATTATTAGAAATAGGTTATTTAAAGTGAACTTATTTCAAATATTCATTTTCTAATAACTAGAATTTATCCAGTGTTACACAATATAATGAAATATTTTCGAAAGACATCACTGTAATTTATATTGCCATGAAAAGAAAGTATAAAAGAAGGAATACGATAAAATATGTAATAATACTCTTTAGTACTGTAATCATTTGTATTTATTTACACTCAAGTCTTAGCTGGAGGTAGGCTGAAAGAATCGGAATGATAATGACAGATAACCCAAAGGATCCTGCATGGAAATCCATTAGAGATATATTCACCTTTGTATTAGAAACAACTTAAAATATTCTAATTTCAGCAACAGAAATGTTCTCCATCAACCAGAACATTCAAGGCTGAATTTGATCTGCTGATTATTTTTAAGGAAAAAAAATTAAAAATATAATCATGAAGTTATAAAGTTACAATAGAGAAAGATTGAACAAAATGATTTCTGAAGTACCCATTTAGCCTTAAATGCACTATTACTCGTTAGTATGAAAGAATTAAGTTAGTAGGTGCATTAGGTGGCTGACTGTTAGAGAAAGTGCTTGGGCCGGGTAAAACAGTGCCTCATTTGAAGACAGGAACCATGTGTTACTCATCTTCATATCCTCATTGCCTGGCATAGTGCCTGCATATAGTAGGCCTTATCAAATGCTAGTTGAATGAATTAATTAAAACATGAATATATAACTATGCCAAGCATTACGCTAGGTTAATTTGATATGTGTGAGCTTTTGAGATCCACACAGCATCCCTGTAAATTAGTGCAGATTACATACATGGAGATGGTGGATAGCACAGTCACGATGCAGACCCACATGGGTCGGGCTCCAAAGACCATTCATTGCCTTTTTACCAAACTAGTTTAACCTCCTCAGCTATGGAAGTGAAGTAGTTTTCTCTCTCATCAGATGCCCCTGGTAGAGCTAAGTAGGAGAAGCCGACAAGAACCTGCCCATCTCCTTCTTGACAATGCTGCCGACAGTTTTCTAAGTTATCAGGGGAACAGAGAGGCAGTTTAAAGGGAAATAAAATACTCTTCTGAATTTTAGAGGAGATTTGGAAAACAAGGTTCTATATTTAGTAAGATTCCATTTTTTATGACTTTACTCACTGTTCTTAATTTTGTAGCAGTTCAGAAAAGGTTTTTTGTGTTGAGAATTTACTGTTCTTTGCTTGAAATCGTGTGATTGACCTCAAAGTTGGAAGAGGCGTTAATTGGGAAGCTTAGAAGGGAGCCACGTAGAACCAAGACGTGCTGACAGCTGCAGTGTTTCACTCTGAGTACTTTCCTTTTTGTCCATCTTACTCTGTAGTAATAGATTGTGAAATAATTCTTGGCAGCATTTTAAAAGTAGAAGACCCACAAGGAAAGTTATATGGCCAGATCCTGTCGTCCAATAAATAGCTAGATTGGGTTGCTAAGGTTCACCTGATACAAATGCCCGATCTAATTTTTAGCTGAGATGTTGTGTAGCTTGGTCTGGTATTATGTTTGAAAGCAATTAATTGGCCTGATGTGAAGAATATTTTACAATTCAGGATGTCCATATTCCACATTATGAAGGTTTTACTTTATTAACTCATTTTGTAGTCTTGCTGCCAAAGTGTAACCTTTTGTATATTTGCAGTCAACTCAGCGTCCACGATAGGGTACTTATTGAATAATTAATCTAAATAAATGTGTGAAAATTTCGTTTGCTTTTAAATTTGTTTTAGGATTATATCTATATAAGGTAACGTTTATGGTCTTTATTTTTGGTGTTCTTCTGTTCTGTCCTTACTAGATTACTTCCTCCTCAGTTTCCTCAGGAGAAACCAGTGATCAGTGTTTATCCACCAATACGACATCACTTAATGGATAAACAAGGAGTGTATGTTACCTGTCCATTAGTAAATAATGTATGTATGCCGTATAATTTATTTCAGAGTAATATAATAGTTGTACTACTTTTCTATAAAATAGCTCAGAAATCTGAAACTTAAAATTTCCTTTTGGAATCAGTAACTTCAAATTTTATTTTCACCATGTATAATACATAATACTGTATTTACTTACCACTAAAATTCTGATTTGAAGGTTATTTGGTTTCCATTGGTGAGGACCTGTTGATGTTAGAATTTTGTTTCAGAGTGGATCATTCCATAGTTGTTAGGAAAGGATATAATTCACATATGCCTTAAAGTTCTTAGGATATGTATATGATTGATTACCTGGAAGACTGTAGCTTAAGTGCACTCTCCATGTTTATCCTTGGCTCTTAAATTCCTGTAAATAATGAAATGTGGAAATATTTCAGATCCATTATTGACCAAGTAGACTTCTAACCTGATCTGCTGACTGCTGCATATTTATGGTACTGATTCTATGAGAAAAGTTTTAAGTTATGGATTGCCTGTATTTTTAATTGACACAATATCTTTACTTTTCATACAATTCTTGACCTACAAAAATGGATTAAGATGTAAGTTTTAGAGTGACATTATCCTAATGAAACTTTATAGGCTTGTTTTTCTGAAAGTTATTTCAGTCATCTTATATTATTTTTACTTTCAGTTTACGATGCACTCAGATCTTGGAAAAATTGTTCAGAGTCTGTTAGATGAATTTTGGAAGAATCCTCCAGTTTTGGCTCCTACTTCAACAGCATTTCCATAGTAAGTATATTTATAATAAATTTAAAAATTGCTTATATTTGATTTTGTTTTTAGCAAAGTAATCAAAATATAGTTTAAAAAAACAAATAATGTTAAAAGGCAATCCTCCACTTACCATATCCCCACCTTCATACAAATACTGTACATTTACACTGTTGAAGGCAAGTGAGTTTTACTCTTTTAGATGCTTCTTCTAATATTTGCCTTCATCTTTCTGAATAATAGGCGCATACTGCTATCTCTTGATCTTTCATTATAGTTATTATCTATAGATACCCTATTATGATAGATGAGGGGTTTAGTATCTTTCACAAACCTGTAATCTCCCTCATCCTCCTGTTAAATTATTTTGTGATTTTTTTACTTAAATCCATATTTGATTATTTCATTATTTTGACTCTAAATATTGTCTGTAGCTAAGCCAAGTACTTTACCATGATTACATTTCCCTAGTGGCTTTTTTTTTTTTTTCCCCCTTTTCTGGAGCTAATAATTACTTAAATTTTACAATTGGTTTAGTTTTCTTAGAGGATCTGTTTAGTTCTCCACACCTTTCAGCAGCTCTGTGCCCATTCTTGTGGCTGTTGGGTCGGTCTGTCTCATTGACGGTGTCCCTCGTTTTCATTGGCCCTCTACTGAACCAGACATGATGTCCTTTTCTAGCGATGGGTCTTTCCTCAAGCCGTGTCCAAAGTGGGCAAGTCTAAGTCTCGCTGTCCTCCCTTCTAAGGAACATTCTGGTAGCACTTCTCAGACTGGTTTGTTTGTTCTTTTGTTAGTTATTGGTACTTTCAGTATTCTTCTCAGACACCACAGTGTGAACTCATCAGTAACTTTTCTGTCTTCCTTTTTCATATGCATATAAGGTGACTGAAATGACCATGGCTTGGGTTAGACACACCTTGGTCATCAAAATGACGTCTTTGCTTTTTCAGACCTTAAAGGCGTCTTTTGCAGTACAATTGCCCAATTCAGTGTCATACGATTTTTTTCACTCCTCCTTCCATGGACATTAATTGTTGATTCGAGTAGAATGCAATCATTGACAACTTCAATTTCTTCACCATTTATCATGATTTTGTTTATTGGTCCTCTTGTGAGGATTTTTGTTTTCTTCACGTTCACGTGTAATCCATCCTGAAGGCTGTGACCTTCATCAGTAAGTGCTTCAAGTCATCTTCATTTTCAGTGAGCAAGGTTGTGTCATCTGCATATTGCAGGTTGTTAATGAGTTATCCTCTAGTCCTGATGCCATATTCTTCTTCATAAAGTCCAGCTTCTCAGATTATTTGCATACAGATTGAATAAGTGAGGTGAAAGGATACAACTCTGCTGCACACCTTTTCCATTTGTGGATCACAGTGTCCCTTTGTTCTGTTCAAACAACTGCCCAGCTGCCTCTTAACCCATGTACAGTGTCATGGATTGAATTATGTCCCCCCAAAAATATGTGTATCAATTTGGCTGGGCCATGATTCCCAGTACTGTGTGGTCTTCCATTTTGTGATTGTAATTTTACGTTAGAGGATTAGGATGGGATTGTATAACACCTTTACTCAGGTCACATCCCTGATCCAATGTAAAGGGAGTTTCCCTAGGGTGTGGCCTGCACCACCTTTTATCTTACAAGAGATAAAATGAAAGAGAAGCAAGCAGAGAATGGGGGACCTCATACCGCCAAGAAAGCAATGCCGGGAGCAGAGCATGTCCTTTGGACCTGAGGTTCCTGTACTGAGATGCTCCCAGACCAAGGGAAGACTGATGACAAGGACCTTCTTCCACAGCTGACAGAGAAAGCCTTTCCCTGGAGCTGACGCCCTGAATTTGGACTTATAACCTACTAGACTGTGAGAAAATAAATTTCTCTTTGTTGAAGCTATCCACTTGTATTTCTGTTACAGCAGCACTAGATGAGTAAGACATAAAGGTTCTACATGAGAACTATTAAGTGTTCTGAAATTCCTCTTCTTTGCAGTGTTGTCCATAATTGGTTGTGATCCGCACAGTCGAGTGTCCTTGCATAGTCAATAAAATACAGATAAACATTTTTCTGCTATTGTCTGCTTTTGGCCAAGATCCATCCGACATCAGCAGTGATACCCCTGGTTCCACGTCCTCTTCTGAGTCCAGCTTGAACTTCTGGCCGTTTCCTGTCAGTGTACAGCTGTGGTTGTTTTTTAATTACCTCCAGCAGAATTTTGCTATCATGTGATAGTAATGATGTTGTTGGATAATGTCCGCATTCCATTTGATTGCGTTTCTTTGGAATGGGCATGGATACGTATCTCTTCCATTTGGTTGACCAGGTAGTGTCTTCCAAATTTCTTGACATAGACGAGTGAGCACTTGCAAGGTTGCACCTGTTTGTTGAAACATCTCAACTGGTATTCCATCAATTCCTGGAGCCCTGTATTTTGCCTGTACCTTCAGTGCAGCTTGAACTGAAGTCACGCTTGCTACTGAGTTCAAAATAAAGCAGATTGGTTCAAACTTATTAAGACGTTAATTCGGGGATAGTATAAGTATTTTTTCATGTTGGTCATGTTTTTAAATAACTTATGCTCACGTGTATATCACTAATACCTTTAGATTAAAGTTTTAAAGTGAAAGCGAGCCATTCTTTGAAATTAATAAGTTATCAGAAAGCTTTTAATTTTTGGAATTGGTCATATATTCACTTGGGTCAAAAAAATATTATGAAGGCATATAGAGTGAAAAGTATCGCTGTCACTTCTTTTTCCCTTGCAGCTTAGTTTTTCTCCTCATTGGCATCCAGAGTTGTTAGGTCGAGTGGGTGTTTATATAATATGTATACTAGGAAATACGTATATGTAGTATTTTATTCTCTCCTTTTTCACACAAAGAGGAGCCCTGGTGGCACAGTGGTTAAGTGCTTGGCTGCTAACTGAAAGATCAGTGGTTCAAACGAACCAGTCCACTCCACAGAAGAAAGATGTGGCAGTCTGCTTCCATAAAGATTGCGGCCTTGGAAACCCTATGGGGCAGTTCAGCTGTGTCCTAGAGAGTTGCTATGAGTCGGAGTTGACTTGACGGCAGTGGGTTTGGTTTTGGGCTTTTTTACACAAGTGGTACTGTATGTTTTTTTTTAAATTAGCTAAATGGTGTAGTTATAGAGAGCTTTTCATGTTAGTACATAAGGGACTTCCTTCTCCTTTTTTGTGGCCACAAAGTATTCATCTTATGGATGACCATAGTTTGGTTAACAAGATTCCTATTGATGATGATTTTGTTGCTTCCAGTCTTCCCTAAAAGGCCTGCCCTTCATCTTTGCCCTCAGTGCTGCAGTGAATAATCTTAAAAATAATAGTTTACCCAAATGTGAGCATATTTGTTGGGTAAACTCTAGAAGTGGTATACACGTTTGTAATTTTGACAAATACTGCAAAATTGTCATCCAGAGTAATTGTACCAATATATACTCCTGTACAAAATGCTTGTTTCCTTGTATCCTTTGCCAAAATAGTCTGTTATCAAAACGAATCTTGCCAGTTTTATAGGTGGAAAATGGTGTGTTAGTGGAATTTTAGTTGCTTTTATCTAACAGTGAAGTTGAGCATCTTTTCATATGTTTTAAAGACGTTTTCATTGCCTTTTATTTGTATACTCTCCTATTTTCCATTTTGCTATTGGGTTGTTAGTCTTAAGAACTTCTAAAAAAGTTCTTATGTATAATAAAAATTATTTCTCTATGATATGAGTTTCCCACGTTCTCTTCCATATGGCATTTGTCTTTACTTATAATGGGCTTTGTCGTGTAGAACTTATTCATTGCCGAATATATCACTATTTTCTCTTGTGACTTCTGGACATGAGATCACAGGAAGTCTTCTCCCACCCGAGACGGTAATTTTCTAGTTCTTTTACGATGCTGATTGATGCCAGCGGAATTCTGAAAACTCAAGAATGGCCTGTCTGCTCACTGCTTCTCTGACTGGTCTGATCATATGCTCTTTAAAGCATTCATCTTCTTTCTTCATGGAAACCACAATTCTCTTTCTTTTGGAGTTTATATTTCATTGATTTATATAAGATTTAATTCAATTATATAATTTTAACAAGTATTAACTGCTATAAACAGATTCCATCTGTAATGCATGCCTATTGCTATTTAGAACAATTTATGAATAATTTTATAAATTTTACCCCTAAAATCTAATCTCATCTTCTCTCTTTCTCTTTAGCCTGTACAGTAACCCGGGTAGACTGCCTCCTTATACTTCTCAGGGTTTTCCGTTTCTTCCTCCGTATCCCCCACAAGAAGCTAACAGGCCTATCACTTCTGTATCTGTTGCTGACACTGTTTCTTCAGCCACAAGTTACACCACAGCCAAGCCTGCTGCTCCCTCATTTGGCATTCTTGCCAGTCTGCCGCTACCCGTTCCCACGACAGATGCCTCCACACCGGTTGGTATCTCTGGGTATCTCTACTTTTTACCTTTAAAACATGCAGTTGGTAAACACTTATCTGTGCCTGCATTGTGCCAGCCACTGAGTTAGGCACAAAAGATGAAAGGATTAAATCAGATTTTCCCACCTGAGTGACCAACAGGACAGTAGAGGAGAACAACAAATAAGCAAGTACTTGCAGATTGGGAACTTCTGTCGAGCAGAGGGACAGCCAGCGCTCACAGGGACTGAGGCAGAACTGGTAGGGGCGTTTTCAAAAAGTGTGATTATTTTTCTTCACCACCTTATCCCTAGTTCCTCGAACCATGCCTGGTACTTGGTAGGCACTCAGTAAAGATGAGATGAATGAATGAATTCATGCATTTGGGGATCAGGTTTTGAAGAGTGGTTTTGAATTTGCCAGAATGGCAAGGGATTATATATATGGCATTCTCTGAAGAGGTAGCAGTATCGATAAAGGCACAAGTCATAAACCAGATGGCATATTTGTGAATCTGTGTATAATAGGTCCCTCTGGCCATTGTATAGGCCAGAGGACTAGGCATAACAAGTGATCATAATGGAGAACCAAAAAAACCCAAACCCACTGCCGTCGAGTCGATTCTAACTCATAGTGACCCTGTAGGATAGAGGAGAACTGCCCCATAGGGTTTCCAAGGAGCGCCTGGTGGATTCAGACTTCTGAACGTTTGCTTAGCAGCTGGACTCTTAACCACTAACCACCGCAGTTTCCGTATAGAGGAGAAGTAGGTATTCTATTGTGGAGAGTATGCTATGTCATGCTGAGGGCTTCAGGTATCTCGTTAGTGTGAAAAAGTTGTGCTCTTCAGTTCAGCTGGGAACTGTTGCCGTGTGGAATGTTACTGAGGGAGAAACTGATACTTTGTGCGTAAAACTTATAAAGGGATTTAAAAACTTTCACTTTTAACCCTTAGTGAATAGCATCCACAGTAATGTTCAAATACTATAAAACCTTATTACATCCAATGATACTAATTTCAGAATTTGTAATTGTTTAGAAAACGAATACAAGTATACTTTGTTTTTCCAAGCCATTTCATCATTGTATTAATGAATGTTATATGAATAAGCTATAAATTAGTATAAACAAATCACAAGAGAACTTTTCACAGGTTCTTAATTTTAAAACATCGTCTGTATTCAGACAATGCATCGTCTGTTCCTCACCTACTCTACTGTTTAATTATTCACACTTTTGCCAAATTACTCATTTTTTTATACTTGCTTTCCACTTGAGATAAATATATTCATATATATCAATGAAATCCACAGACAGTTCTCCACATTGTCACAGATACGCTTGAGAGACTTATTTTACAGTCATGTACTTTCCCAAAAAAACGGAGCTAACAGAGGCACTCATAGGGCCCTCACTGTCCCCTCGCCCCCAAAAAGGAGCCCTGTATGTACAAAGTTAAACTGAAAAAAATAGCCTGCAGGAAGAAGGGGAGAGTGAAGAAAATGTGAAGTGCAGAGATGAAGACGTAGTAATGGAGAGCAGTTATGGGATGTAGTACCTTTAAACTTATTTCTGTAATTGTAATTATTTTGTAAATGAGAGCAGTCACAAAGATGGTTGAAATTTAATACTACTTATAACTCTTTTTAGATAAACCAGAATGGTTTTGGTTATAAGATGCCGGATGTCCCTGATGCGTTCCCTGAACTCTCAGAACTAAGGTAAAAACCTTGAAGGGTAAAGTCAGCATTCATTGTCTGTTTTAGTTTTCACTACAAAACAGATCATCATTTTCATATCCACACCGAATAAAAAGATTTTTCAAATCCTCACTATTCCTTTGTTGTGGTTGTCTTAGTGGAAATTTTAATCAGTTTTAGGTCATGTAGGTTGTATTTATTGAGTTACTAGTACGTATCCACGGATTTTTCTCGAAGCTGGGAATGATATAAGAGTTAACCAAAATAACAAGGTCATTTCTCTCATGTGATTTAAATATTCTTTTGAAAATTAATTTTGAACACATTATTCCTGCAGATTTCAAAACATATCTTGGCCTATTTTAGACCTTTGCATTGTGCCATTAATAGAACTTTGTGTGTAGAGAAATAGACTAAAGTTATCACAAATTATTACAAGGTGTTTCTACAGAGCCAAAAATTTATACACATTTATGGCAGGTATGTTTGTAACATTCAAGTTGAAAGTAGCATTTTTCATGGAGCACTGGTCCTCTGAGATGCTCCATGAGAAAGGTGTTTTGTGACCCTCAGCTTGGTGAAGCTTTGCATCCTTTCTTCCCTCATGGAAGCTTTACAGTGCACAGCAGGCTGTTACTACTAACGGGATTGAATACAGTTTTGCAGCTCTTTTTGCCTTGAAGATCTATCCCACCAGGGATGTATAACCACATACCTGTGAGGAATCTTACGGTTTAAAAAAAAGTCATTTAACTATATTTGACGTAGTGTTTTATAGTCATTTTTAGGAAATAGCAGTATTAATTATTTTGTTAATAATAAATTAATGAATGCTTACAATATGCCAGATGTATGTTATGGGTATATATGCATTGTAATGCTCACCACAACCCCATGAGGTAGGTACTATTATTGTTACCATTTTACAGAAGAAGAAACAGACTTCGGTTAAGTTAACCTAGAGCTCTTTGATTCTGGAGTCTCAGTGATTCTTAATATATTATACTGATAAAAATGAATAGTACTTTCTCCTTTTTTAAATTATGGAAATGTCAAAACTATACAAAGGCAAACAGAATAATGAGCCTCCACATACCCATCATTCAGCATCAATAGTTACTATTCTCTTGGTACATCTTACTTTGTATACTGTCCTACCCAGCTCTGTTTTGGGGGGTGCAAGTGGAAGGAGGTGTGGATCAGGATCATTGTAAAGCAAATCCTAGATATATTTTCACCCATAAATTGTTCTGTAAATTTCTCCACCAGATAAGAACTTTTTTTTAAGCCATAACCGTAATCATCATTATGATACTTAACAAAATTAGTAATAATTCCTTAATGTAATCTCGTTCCCCCAGTGTCTTAATAATAAAATATTTTTGTTGTTGGCTTGTTTGAATCAGGATTCAAAACAGAGTCCGCACATTGCATTTGGATGCTGTATCAAAGTTTCTTTAATTGTTAACCATTTCTCTTCAGCTTTTAATTCATATATTTATGTTTACACTTACATACGTGTATGTATGTATATATGTTGTATTATTTGTTTATTGAAGAAATTGGTTATTTGTCCTATAGAATTTCCCGTCCGATTTTGCCTGATTGCACCCTCTAATAGATGTTCCTCTGTTTCCCGTATTTTCAGCTACTGGTGGTTAGATCTAGAGGCTTGATTAGATTAAGTGCACTTCTTTTGGCATGAGCACTTACACATAGTTAGTGGATACTTTGTTGGATCACATCAGGCAGCAGTGATGTCTGGTTGGCCTATTTTTAGTGAGGTTAAGATCAGATCAGGTTGAAACAGCTGAAGCCATTAATCATCCATTATTTCATTAAGCGTTATAAACATGATATTCTGGTTCTGTCATCCCTTCTGCATTTATTAACCAGAATTCTTCTACAGAGAACTTTCTTTAATCAACTCTTTAGTTTTACTGAAAAATACTTCATACAGGAAAGGCAAAATAAATGCTTGACTTTTTTCCCTTTTTCAATTTTCAAAATAATGCATTGGTACATTTGCAATCTGCAGAGTATGTTCTGATGGGTGGGGTTGTTTTTGTTTGTTTTTGTATACTGTTTTTAAAAAATATATTTAATGTGTTTGATCCATTGAAGACATTATTCTTTTTTATGCTTAAACTGTCCCGTGTATACCAAAAACCAAATCTGTTGCCATCGAGTTGATTCCAACTCATAGCGACCCTATAGGACAGAGTAGAACTGCTCCATAGAGTTTCCAAAGAGCGCCTGGTGGATTCGAACTGCCAGCCTCTTGGTTAGCAGGTGTAGCTCTTAACCACTGCGCCACCAAGGTTTCCCATCTGTAGTTAGTAGGAAACTCTTCAAGTTGACTTCTGTGTCCTTTCTGACAAAAACAAGGCTCATGAACATTTCTTTCCCCAGATCTGGAGCCAGCCATTTCTCTGAAGGGCTCTCATTTGTTTTCAGAATTAGAATACCAATACTATTACTAAGATTATTGGATGCAGCTTACATTTTTGGTTTTGGCTTTGATTTTTAGGATATATTCTATCAGAGATGTACACCCAAATACTGTTTTTTAAAAGTCACTTCGAGTAATACTTCTCTGTTTGATTATGTAACTTAGCAAAAACAGGTTCATTTAATTCCGTCTGCTTTGAATTGTAAGGCTGCTTTGCTTTCAGTTTCTAAAATTTTATGTTTTATTTATATAATGCTTTTATATGGTTCCATGGTCAGAACTAAAAGATGCGTTCAGGAGGTTTAGCTTCCATCTCCACCCCTCCCAGCTCCTTCTTTCCCTCTATAGATGTTTATGTTTTTTCTGGTTTAACCTTCCATTATTCTTTTTTAAAACATATTTTCTGAATATACGTGCCACACACAAATTCATACACACGCTCACACGTGTACATGTGTATATCTTTTGTTGTGACAATCAGACACCTATTAGTTAAATAGGTGCGGTGGTTAAAACTGGGAGGTTGTTACAGCTATTCATGCACGCTAGTCTTAGTAGTCCATAGTAATGTGACACCAGACAAAAGCAGAGACTATTTACCTTGTTGAGTCTTGGGAGATTTTATTGGCTACATCATGGCCAGCATACTGTTAAAATCAGGCACTGACCTGGTCCAAACCTGAATAGAAAGACCAGTCTTCTGCAGAGGTTTGTATAAACCAAAACATTACAGTTACCCACTGGGTTTCTTTCCAACTCTGTTCCCCTCCCATCAACACAGTGAAAGGAATACAGACAAAAGCGTCTAATGGTAGTTTGTCTGTGAACTTGGCTTCTTTGAATTTACTATGTTATTAATAGGTTCAGCGCGTGCTTTGAAGAAATAGCTAGCTTAAACTTGACATATCAGTAAGCCTGGTTCCTATCAGGGAAATTGAAGAAATAAGTGCTGTTCTAAAGCAATGAAATTAAACAAAAGAAAAAGAAAAAATGTTATAAATGTATCGCTGCTCTCCTATTTTAGGGAGCCTCAGCTGAATAAGGGAGAGCACTAGTTTCATCCTTTTTTCTTTACCTGAGTTAAGTAGATCTTATTGTTAATTTCAGGGCACTGTTTAATTGTGAACACTTCCCCACAGCTGTGATTTTAAAGAAAGTAGCTAACATCAGTATACCCAGTGGACCAGCATTCACTTCTGTGAATTCTGTAAGAGTACAGACTATTTTATGTTCCGTCGTGGTTGATGCTTTGTTTTTAAGGTTATAATTAGCCTTCTTAGGTTTATATGGAAAAGTGGATACTTTTAAAAATTATTTAGAACCCCGTCAGTTGGGTACAACTGAAAAATCATGAATATTTATCGTCGTGGGGAGAAACTGGATGACTGATTTTCATTAACGACGTTTTTTTCTGCTGCGTTTCTAGTGTGTCACAGCTCACAGACATGAATGAGCAAGAGGAGATATTACTAGAGCAGTTTCTGACTTTGCCTCAACTACAGCAAGTCATCACTGACAAGGATGACCTAGTAAAAAGTATTGAGGAGCTAGCAAGTATGTCTTCCCTTGCTTCAGCTCAGATTTCCTGTGAAAAATGTGATCTTTATCTAGAAATAAACCAGACATATTTTTCTTACAGGAAAAAATCTTCTTTTGGAACCCAGCTTGGAAGTCAAAAGGCAGACTGTTTTAGATAAGGTGAGTGAGTTATTCTTTTGAAGGAAAATATTATGCAATTTAAAAATAAGGTAAGGCAGCGTTTTTATGTTCTCTTTTAGTATGAATTACTTACACAAATGAAATCTACTTTTGAAAAGAAGATGCAAAGGCAGCATGAACTTAGTGAGGTAAGATTGTTTAGCTCTTTTCCTTTGCCATAAGAATTTTCTATCAGTGTCTGTGAACCACGTTCTTACTTGCATTATTATCAGAAAGCATTTAGACGTCTAACTTCCTAAGGCATGATACTGTTAAATTTAGACAAACATCTCTCAGATATGAGCATTATAAATCATGTATGCTCATGCAAGAGCATATTTGGTTCCAGGACATAGAAAAATATGAAAATCTTTCCTAAGTAACTTATATGAAGTCAGTGTAATCCTTGTAATAAAACCTAACAACAAAACAGTTCAATGTTAGACTCACTTGTATGCTTACGTATAAATATCTTAATTGGAAAGTTAGCACATTGAAAAGCTAAAGTATAATTACTACAACTAGTAGGTTTTATGCCAGAAAGCCAGTTACATGAATAACAAAAAGATACTTTACAAAATTCAGTCCATATTTCTGAAAAAGTAAATAAAAAGAAAATGGAAGGCTACAACTTTGTCTTACACCAATAACCAGCATCATAGTAAATAATGTTCCATTTCCTTTAAAAGCAGGAATTCTGAAAGGTGAAACCAATGCAATAAAACATAAAATAGAAATAAAACAGCAGGAGCAAAAAGTGACGGTAAAGGAGAGTCCAGCTTTATAATGAATCGCAAATAATGTGATAATCCTTTAAAATAAATGAAATAAAAATAATAGCTAACACTGAGCAATTATTATTTGCTCTGTACAAAGCGATTTACATGTATTGGCCCACTCAGTTCTCCCCAAAACCCTATGAGGTAGGTATTGTTTTTTTTTTTTCTTTCCATTTTACAGATGAGGAAACTGAGGCACAGGGAGATACAATAACTTCCCTGAGGTCATATTGATAGAAAATATCAGAGTCAGGATTCAACCTCAGCAGCCCCCTCCCCCCCTTAACCAGAAAAATCCTGGAGGATCAACTGAAATGCTCTTAGATGCACATTAGCACTTAGCAGATGCTGAAAAGGCTTTTCACAACAGTCAGCATCATTCCTTATACAAATTCTTAGTACACTGAGAATGTAAATTATTTATTAATTTGGTAAAGAATATTAGAACCAACAGCAAACGTCACACTGACTGACTAAGCATTACCAGGATCCCTTCTGTGTTAGGAGTGAGACAGTGATGCCCCACTATCCCTGCTGTTTAACATTGCTCGGAAGGTTCTAGCCACTGCAACAAGATCAGGAAAAAAAAGAGGTTTAATATAAAAGGAGATGAAATGATTGTTTACCAAAAGCAAACAAACAGGCAAAAGTCCCAGAGAACTGAGGCGCTTTTTCCCCTTGCATTCCAGTAATTCCTAGTGCAAAATGAAATGGAGAAAAAAAACTAAAAAAATAATGTATAAATTTAATACAGTTCCAATAAAAATCCCAAGAGCATTCTTTTTAATCTTAGCAGATTTATTCTTAAGTTCACCTAAACAGCTAAATGGGTAGAAATAATCAGGAGTGTGAACAAAAGGCAATAATGCGGAAGACTTCCTGTTCCCAGTATCAGAATGCACTGTAAAACTTCAGTATCTAAAACGGTGTGGGAGTTTGGTAGGGAGAGGAAAATAGTTCCATGCAACAGGCTTTGGTTCTGAAACAGACTTGTGTATATGAGTAATAGGTTGGGAGAAAGATTGAGGGTTCAGTATACTATATCATTGGGTAACCATTTAGGCAAAAATTAGGTTCATACACAGATATTCCAGATAGAGCAAATATTTAAATGGAAACCATAAAATTAGGAAAGGCAACTATCTCTTCATATGGTGGGAAAAACCTTTCTCAGCATGACACAAAAGAGGCAGAGCGTGAGGGAAAAGATTGACGTATTTGGCTACATACAAACTTAAAACTTGTGTATAATAAAGACCATAAACAAAATTGAAAGCAAAGTGAAGAAATGGGCACAGATTTTATAGCATATGTCACGTAGAAATACTAATACCGATGATATGTATAGGCCCTCTTATAAATGGGCAAAGGAAGAAACAGAAAGTGTACAAAAGAAGAATAGAAATGTCCAGTAAACATTGTGGTGTAACAGTTATTCTGACCCCTGCGTGCTTTACAGCTTTGTATTAGAATTGCTTGAGGAGATTCTTTTAAAAAAAACTTGGACTCCTGAACCCCTCTGTAGGTGTGCCCACTCAGAATCTCTGGGGATGACGAACCTTCCATACACTAAAAGTATGAAAACCATTTCACTAGATTGTTGGTTCCATGGGTACGGTTCCCTGTTCTGTTCTGTTCCCTCCTGTAGACCTAACACTTGGCCTGTAGTAGGTACTCAGTAAATATTTAATGAATAAGTAAATGAACACCTTTGAAGAGATGTTTAACCTTACCGTAATTAAAAAAAGCAAAATAAAACATCATCCGTGTGAGCCACACTTTTATCAACAGATAACCAGTGTGGGCAAGGTGAGAAGACAACAGTGCGTCGGGTCCGTCCTGTGTGTGACGTCACTTAGTACTGTGTTCTTAGGGAGACAGTTCAGCTGAGCTTTCATCCATCTTCTGCCGCTCGTTCAACAGATGTTTATTAAGCGCCAACTGTGTGCCAGGCCCAGTAAGGAATTCAGTACAGCTAGCTCGTCATAAAGGGTAGTTTAAAAAAGAAAAACTATTCTCACTGAATCCAGGGGTAGGAAATTAAGTTCAATTAGAAGGACAGTCAGAAACCATCTATCTCAGGGACCCTGTTTTCTTTTCTCTCTACGTTTTATCTGCTCACATTCCGTGCATACAGCCAGCGTGGTGGCCAGCTTCATTTCCACATCACGACTTGTTAAGTGGCCACTACCACCTGACCCGATCTGTCAGCCATTACATTGTTGATCTATTGCTGTGTAACTTATCACCCCAAAACTTAGCGGTTTAAAACCACTAACATGTATATCACAGATTCTGTGGATCAAGAATACAGACATGGCTCAGCTAGGTGCCTTGGCCTCAAGGCTGCAGTCAACGTGTCAGCTGGGTTATAGTCTTATCTGAAGGCTTAACTGGGGGAGGATCAGCTTCCAGGCTCACTCATGGCTGTTGACAGGATTCATTCCCTCGCAGGCTGCTGGACTGAGGGCCTCAGTTCTTCACTGATTGTTGGCCAGGGGCCTTGCTCAGTTCCTTGCTATGGGGGACCCTCCATAGGGCAGCTCAGCATGGCAGCTGGCTTCCCTCAGAGTGAACGAACGAGAGAGAGTGCAAGAGAGGCATACAAGACGGAAGCTTCAGTCTGTTGGAAACCTAATCTCAAAAGTGATATCCCGTTCCTGTTGCCATATTCTGATCTCTAGGTCCAGCCCACACTCAAGGGGAGGGGATTACACCTGGGTGGGAATACTAGAAGGCGGGGACCATTGAGAGCCACTGTAGAGGGTGACCACCACAATATTCTAATTCCTAAATCCCCAGGGGAGGATCGTGGTTTGTAGCCCGAGGATTGGTTTCTCCTGCGTTGGGTACCCACCCCTATATCCAACAACAGAAGACCTCGGTGGGGCTTTGTCAGGTAGCAGAGTCCCACAGAAAGAGGCCATGTAAGGCGTATAATGAACGGCTTCTCCCCACCTCTACCTCATTTTCTCTCCCTCTAAGGAGTTTTTCCGAGCATTAGAAGCTCATACGGTGCTCGGTTTTCTTTTTCAGAGCTGTAGTGCAAGTGCCCTTCAGGCAAGGTTGAAAGTGGCTGCACACGAAGCCGAAGAAGAATCGGACAATATTGCCGAAGACTTCTTGGAGGGAAAAACTGAAATAGATGATTTTCTCAGTAGCTTCATGGAAAAGAGAACAGTATGTAACACTCCTCAGTTGAGGGTGAATGGCAGTGTAGTATCAATTACTTAAGTCTACTCAAGAGTAAAAACTTAAGCACATTACCGAGCTAGAGTTTTGAGTGTCATGGAAGGAAACTTAAAGAGTCTCTGTTGAGAATGAGAGCAGCGTCCTCCTGGCACTTTAAACTTCTTGTGTGCACACAACAGGTAAATCAAGCGATAGTTCTGTTTTAGAAGTGATGTTAGCTGTATCATTCCGTAGTGAAGCTGCTAGTCTTCATAGTTGTAATATACTCCTGAATAATCTGTTTGACGAGTTATTTAAAGAGAGAATAATATATAGATTTTTAAAAATGTTTAAAGTATTACATATTGAGATGTTTAAAATATTACAGTTTCTATTCTGGTATTTTCATTGAATGTTTAAAAGAAAAAGGGGGGGTTGCTTATAGTTTCTCGACCTTTGATAGAGTCCTAGGTATTCACCTAATTTCTCTGAAACATCACATTTTGAAAATAGCCTTTGGTTAGTAAACTTGATAAAAACATGTGCTATGTCTATGTATATCCTGTTCAGGCAGGTGGGGTAGATTTTATGATCCCCCATTTTCCATGAGAGAAAATTAAAGTTCAGGGACAATGGTAACCTGCCTGTGGTTGTGACGTGAGCAAGGCGTTGATTTCTGGGCCGTTGTGTTATCGCACTATAAATGACTGTGTCTGGAATCTTTTATTTATTAATCTTGCTGGTTAACAACAGAATAAAAAAATCATTCCCATATTTTTAAAAACACAGGTATTTGAAATTACATAATTGGAGAAAATGGTAGAATCAGAGTTTATTTTACATTCTGGAAATTGGTAGGCAAAGACTATTTTCTGATCAAAATTAAAGTGTGTTTTTTTTTTTTTTTTGGTATTTTTAAATTCTGAGGAATTAGCTACTTGAAACATTCAAAACTTGACCTAATGTCAGCAGGTTAAGATCGTTAGAATCTGCCACACACGGGAAGTAGCAGGTCCATCCTTTGGAGATGTGACTGTGTTCTCAATAACTTGTCTTCTAGATCTGCCACTGTAGAAGAGCCAAGGAGGAGAAACTGCAGCAGGCGATAGCGACGCACAGCCAGTTCCAGGCTCCGCTCTAGGTGAATTACTGCGTCGCAGGGCGTCGGAGTCTCACTGGGGGTGTGTAGCTGTTCTGCAGTCGGAGGACTCTCGGCGGTGCCTGTTCCCGGCAGCTTACAGCATAATTCTGTCGTTATTGTTATTACACTGTATAACATAGAGAATGCTTTGTAATATATAAACACACACATGGGCAGTAGAAATCTTTTAGATGTTTTCTCAGTATGATGGCTTAAATGAAAAGTATTTTGCAGTGTTTGGTAGCTCCTTATTTAGAAGTTAGGTTATAGTTTCTTCCTCTCTCTCAGCGGGTATGTAGACTGTTGCCGTATCGTGTAGTTGTCATATTTCTCAGTAATCTCCTTCATCGTTTCTTCCTCTAAGTGAACTTCCTGTCTGTCTCTTTTCCATCTCACACCAGGATTACTCCAGGAATTTTCTGACCAGTCTCCCTGACTTCAGGGTTTCTCCTTCCTGCGCAACACTGACAGAACGATCTTCCTAAAATATCGCTTCTGAAATACAACTTCTCTGCTCTGCAACCTGTAACAAGCCCCAAGCAGTAATAGTATCAACACCAGATTTCTCTCTCTAGTTTTAAGATTTCAGTAATCTGGCCTGTATTTCAGATCATCCATTTTAATTTTCCATTTTCCCTGTGTTCTTTTACGTGTCATGGTCTTTCCTCTACCGCCATCCTCTCTGCTCGTGCTCTTACCCGATTTCTTCCTTTTCCTCTCTGGCTGTCTTGTTTTAGGAATGAGTTGGCCGCAAGGATTAGTTCCCGCCAAACATCTTAACTAAAGCTTAGGTTGTTGGGTAAAGACAGGGATGTATCACACAGCCAAACTGCTGGAAAGTACTGCTCAGTCCCCCAGAGACCGAGGGCACGGCCAGAAGCCATCACTGACCGAGGCGCCCTTTCTGCAGCTGCTGGTCTCTCTTCACACAGCCTTCTTTGCTCCACTTGCACGTAGTCCACCTGCCTGCAGGCCTGATCATGTCATCTGACAGTTCAGGCAGCCACTGGACACTGGCAGGAGTCTCTCGAGTCCCATACAGATCCCAGGGAAGAGCTGTGCACTTAGGGCTGAGGTGTCCATGTGGTCCTCTGCCCACTCGCTGGGCGGAAGAGGTAGAGCGGGGCCACAGAGAGGGAAATGACAGGCATTCCTCATCTTCAGCTCTAACTCATCCGATCCTCTGCGTCTCTTGTACTTAGCATCTGTACCAACATTGTGTTGCTTTATATCTTATCTCCCAAGTTATACTGTAAATGCCTTGAGGGTTGATTTTTATACCAAGTTTGCATTTCCCACAGCTTGAGAAGAAAGTAGACATTGAGTAATTGCTTCCTCATTTGTACAAACTAGAATCCTTTCCTCATCCGTCCCCTCTCACCGTCAAGTTACCTCCTTATCGGTAAATCTTAACTGGAAGAGAACGTAAAGGGATGGAAAATTATCATCTTAAATTAAATGTTACAAGTTTTGTTTTTATTTTTCTTTTCTTTCCAGATTTTCCTGAAAACATGAACTGCCAGAAGAGGAATGGGACAAAAGACTAAGCACATGGTTTTATATTTATGATTCGCAAGTGGCATTTCATCACAGTGGGTGGAATTCATAGACAGACTATATAGATTGTATATAGAACCGAGACAGATTCTGTACAGGTTAGAATGATTGCTATAATCTTTGCTTTGAAAATGTTTTCTGCACTCTTTGCACTAAAAGTGTTTATTTATTGTTGATAAATCCTGTCATATTTAAGTTCCTCTGCTGTTCCCCTCTTGTTAGAAATTAAATACCTATGCATGTAATTTTAGTAGGTTTCAATATTTTATAAATTATTTCATTTAAATTCGTATTTTTTAATTTGAAACTGCCTCGTTTCTTTATCAGAAATGGTTTGTTATTTAGATTTTTCCCTTTCAATCTTTTTTGAAAAAACTAGTATTTCTCCTCTTTCTTTCTGGATAAAATTTTGAAAAGCAGTTTGTTTTTAAATATTCATAGTGTCAGGAAACACCAAACCTGCCAATGTGCTGTCTAAAAAAAAAATTAACTTTTAATAAGTACAATAAATCAAAAGGATAAACCACCTGCTCTTATATATTGTTGTTTTATTTTTAAAACTAAGTATGCATTTAAACAGCAATGCAAGGGAATGGATGTTTTACCTGATAGGAAGAAAACTGCCTTTCACTTAAACCAGTCCAATACAAACTCTCACGGTGGTTTTTTTTTTTAAATCAATATCTGCTGGGTTTGTGGTTGGATAAGGATATGCTTTCTGAATTCATAATGTTAAAGTTAATGATGGTCTTTTTATTCAACAGATAGTAAATCTAGACACAAGAAGGTCAATGAATTTTTCCGACTTTTTACTGTGGGTTAGCTTTTCATAAGGGAAAAGCTGTAGTAAGTATTCTTCGGAAATCCTGATTTTGATGAATGTAATTGAATCTTCTCTCTGTCTTGTACTGTGTGCAGAGATTTACTCCCGTGTCATGGAATGACAGCGTTTCATGGGTATCCTTAAATGCTAATAAAGGGGAGAATCTTGAACTGTATTTCTGAGGCGTAGGGAGGTAGTGTCTAAATCACAAAACCATCTAAAGTATATTTTTGTTTAAATTTCATCCCAATATGATTGTCATTCCAAATACCAGCATATAGTACAGTTTATCTTTTCTTTTTCCTTCTTTTCTTCCTATATGTGTTTTTGGCATTAGAGCTTTAGGAAAATCAAGATTATTTTCTTACACTTGAAACGTACTCATTATTTATGTTTGGAAGGTCAGGTATTCACATGAACAATAAAGAGACACCGTTAGATCAAGGCAGTAACTTCTCATTACTCCCCTGTCTTCTGGCACTGCTAAGGCTCAGTCTTCAGAATGAGCGCATGAGGAGGTGTAATTATTACTTCTGATCTGTAGGGGAGATAACTTGAGGTAGAAGTTAGTGTTTCACACTTGTGGCAGAGTCCTCTGGGTACTGGAAAGCTTTCTTTACTGCACTGGCCATCAGGGCTTCAGTTTTCCCAACCACCGTCACAGCGGAGGACCTCAGAGTCCCACTGTCTTGCAGACAGGTAGCTTTTTAGAAACCAAGTCTAGCCCACAACAGACCAGCAGACCACACCAGTTTTATTAAGCACCTTCTGAAAATAAGGCATGTGAAAACACAAAGATGATTCAGACATGGTTTAGGGTGCTTCTCTACCTACCTCCACAAAAAAAAAAAGAAAAAGAAAACTCATTGTTAGGCAGGGTAGATCTCTTCTATGTCATCATCTGCACGGTTCATCTCAATGACTTTACGAACTGCCCCCGGTAACACAGCCAGGTTTCTCCTTGCAGAATAGTTTATTACATAACCTCATCACAACCCAGTAGTTAAATGAAGTGTTTGATCACAACTATCTGTATTTATCCAACTGACAAATTAGTTTAGATATAAGTTATGTAAGTCACCCAGGATGCAAGTAGTCTGCACTGGAATTTGGGTTCTGCTTTTATAGTAGAAATTTTAATAAAAGTTAACCATTTTTGTAATTTTAGGGCTGTCTTTTTTCCTTCTTAAAATCGGCCATATTGGAGAAGTAGTGACAAAGGAGAAAGAGGAATGCATGTCAGAGAGTCAGATTTTACCTTAACACGTAATAGAAACTAGATGGAAATCAGAATGATAAAGCTTAGGAGTTATAGACTGTTCAGGGTTGTAGTTGGTAATGAGTAGACATTGAAAACCTAACATCTCAGAACAGAAGGACGTTCTAGACCAATGAGATAACATACTAAAGATATGTCAAGGCTGAAAGAAATTTCTAGGGATAAATTGAGAATAAGGAATTTATATTGGAGTAGAGGCTGTTTGACAAGTTTGATCATAATTTATATTATTAAGCTGAAGGACAGCTCAGATTCATTTTAGGCAAAGAAGTTCCGTTCCCCTAAAGTGCCCTTAAGGAATAAAAATGTTTTCCAGGGTTTCCCCTCTCCTTTCCACACCTGCCTTTATTATAAAAAAAGTGTTATTCTTAATTAAGAGTATCAAGTGAGTAGGGGATTATGATCAAAATTTTCATCTATTATCAAATGTGTTTGAATATCACTAAATAGTAAATCACTTGAGCGCTACAAATTACTAACTGGGAAGTAATCTGCTTTGAGTCAGTTTTACAATTTCTTTAAACCAACTGCCCTAAACAGAGCACTTCCCGGTTGACCTTTGATTTAAAATGAAAACATATGGTTAGAGAGTTATCCTTGTTGACGCACTGGCCATGTTCTGTCATGGCCCTGTGAAAGCACAAGTCTTAATGAGCAATAAATATCACCTTTTATATAAATTTCAATCTCAGGTCAACTTCTCAGAAGAAGACTAAATATATATATACTTATAATGTAACAAGGTTGGGGGACCAAAGAACATGTCTGGGTCTGATGTAGAAGACATCACATTAAATAATTAAATTTTAAAATAGTAAATATTTGTACTGTTTGCTTTTGAAAATAAATGTATAATCCTGTTTGACATCATTACTGTGTCATTTTTTTTTTAATTTTATTATTTCTTTTTTGTTCCCCTTTGGCAGAAGTACTCTGCCAAATGAAATAAAGTCCCATCTTTAATAGGTAGCAAAGTGTCTAACAGTTGGTAACTACAAGAATAACATGAAGCAAGTTATGTTATAAAAATGCAAAGCCAATACTACTATATCCTAAGTATCTCTCATTAACAAGGTATTCTCTACTGCATACACTATAGTGCAGAAAATGAATAAACATTCCTTGTACTTAAATAATTTGGGAGCTCTCATTAGAGAATGCTCAGATTTTATATTCTAACAATTATACTTGCCTTATTTTTTACATTCACAGTAATTTTATATCTTAGGTTTCTAATATACTAAGTTACATAATAAAGTTATTAAAGTAACACACATTTAAATATGAACACAATTACAATTATATTATTTCATTTATATATATCACTGCACTCTCTCTGAATCTTTCATGCTAGAGATTTCAATACTGTAGCCTTCCTGCCCTTTCATTGTGTTCCCATTTCAGTAAAATCTAACACATTTTCCTATAAAAGAATTTCACACGTTCAAAATATTGATGTACATGGTAAAAGTTAAATCTAAATCCTTCATATTATAGAATGTACTATTTTAAAAGCATACAGTGTGAATATTATTTATCTCTGTCCAAACAGCAAATTCTTGCCACTGTTTCTTCAGATCAGAAGTTTAGTTAACCCAGTAAAGTCCCATGTTTGATAATAAGACAGGGCATGATTCAGCTTCAGATGTGCATTTTAGCCAAACAAAAACTCATGACTTTCAGCAGTCAGTGGTCATCAGACGTTACTAATGTTAATTAAACCATTTTCTAGTTCTTAACCGGGATTTTCCTTCCTTGAAATTTTACCCTGTGAGCTGCTTCACGTTGTTAGTCTTCAGGGGTCCGGCTGGTGGTTGGCCCACAAGGTCTTGGTAGTTGTCATCTCTGGAACAGTAATAGAAGTTGTTATTAATAAAGCTAATATCATCTGAATTCAGATGTAAGAACCAGAGAGCGAAGGTTGCTTTTACTTTATTAGGTGTTAGACCCCTGTTAAAGAAAAAGTCACAAGTCTTAGCATTTTTTAAATGATGAGTAACAGGAGAGGTTCAGAGAAAAGCAACAAAATTATTGTAACAATGCAAATATTTATCTAAGGAATGGTAAACATGATTATTAAACCCGCAACATAAGCTTAAGCAATCACAGAGCTCCTCAATTACAAGGATATATCTGTAACCACAAAGGATGCATCTCAACAATGTGCTCTGTTTATAAAAATATTGCTAAAGTCAGAAAGGAAGATAATGTCAGATGTTTCAGAAAACAAAATACAGATCTGGAGATGAGATACGGGGGAAGTTGAAGATGATAATGGTAGAACAGAAAGGGCTTAGGGCCCTGTGAGTGGATGCGCGCTATGACAAGGGAGGTTTCTTCTGTAACCTCAGATGGTGGTAGAAGTAACTGCGCCACGGCAAAGAAGATTTTCAAGAGTCTGGAGTGAGTTCTGAAATAATTTTCTTACATTTGATGAGAGAAATGGCTATTTCCTGTTCTTCAACAGCAAACGAAACCAAAAGTTGGCCATCTTTTCCCTTTTTATAGCTACAGTTTATCATTCCTGATGACACGGTCCCTTTCTTGAGAGAGTTTTCATTGTAAATTGCACGGTTCCCTTATTTTTGGAAGTGTTTGTTGTGTGTCTTTTATTCTGAAACCTCAAGGGGAAGCTTCACGCCGTGAGGAACACTGCCTCGTCAGAATCCCGGTCCTTGCTGCTGTCTTCGCTCGCACGCTCCCCACCGCTTGGAGACCGGCAGCTCAGGTCCTCCACCCCGGACTCCTGATCACTGTTGCCTGACAGGTCTGGGTCCGAGATTTTCAAGTTGTCTTGGGTTAGGATCAGAGCGGAATCCTCGTCTCCTTGTGAGGGGCTCCTGGACGGAAATGATCTCGCATTTCCACTGTAGTCCTGCGGCGTGTTGGCCGTGCTGTTGTCTGAGGTGGAAAACCCTGAGTGTCTGCTGGGCTCACTCGGCTTACTCTTCACTTTAGTGCGATTTAACTGGACTTTCTGGATTTTTTCCAGCCTCTAAAAAAGAAACAACAATTTCAGGGGAAAATCATAAATCATTTACCTCTTTTTTATACATGTATGCCTTCAGTATTCATTACCTTCCAGTTGGGTATAATATTAAGAGCATGGGGTTTACGTGGCCAGGGGTTCAGATCTAGACTTAATGACCTTGGACAAAATACATTCTGTGAGGCTTGGTTTCCTCATCTCTAATGTAAGGGTGTTAATATCTGCCTTTGCATAGATGTTCTGTAGAATTTTAAACACATAACATAGGTTAAAGCACCTGGCAATCAGCACTCTCTCTTTTCTATGTTTATTGAAGAGGATTTCTGTGTGGTTTTACATGATAATTTTCATCCTGTGGACTCAAAATAATTTTTAAAAAATCAGGTATGAAGGATTTACTTTATTATCTAATTTTTTATTGAGATACGCTTTCCATTGTGCCCTTTTAAAGTGTACAGTTTGGTGGATTTTAGTGAATTCACAAGGCTGGACAACTTTCAGTACTACCTAATCGCAAAACATCTTCATCAGCCCAAAAGAAAACTCCCTGCCCCTCAGCAGTCACTTGCTGGTCTCCCTTCCCCACAGCCCTTGGTAAACACTACTTCCTGTCTCTGTGGGTTCACCTAGTCTGGATGGACATTTCATGTAAATGGAATCATACAATACATAGCCTTATGGGTCTAGCTTCTTTCACGTAGCGTAATGTTTTCAAGGTTCATCTATGTTGTAGCATTTATCAGTACTTCATTCCTTTTCGGAGCCCTGATGGCACAGTGGTGAAGACCTCGGCTAACTAAAAGGCTGGCAGTTCGAATCCACCAGCCGCTCCTTGGAAACCCTATGAGGCTGTTCTACTCTGTCCTATGGGGTCGGTATGAGTCGGAATCCACTCAATGGCAGTAGGGTGTTTTTTTTTTTTTTGGTTTTCATTCCTTTTTAAAGCTGAATAATATGTATCTATAATATATACATATACCAAAGTTTGTCCACTTACCCAGTGATGGACATTTGGATTGTTGAAAATACATTTTATTAAAATTCATCGTTCATTGTCAGAGGGGGAGATGTTATAAAATCAAGTATTATGTATCCATTCAAAAAGGCATTCATATTAATATGGAAAACCACTGTGCTGGGCAATAAGGAGAGTAGAAATAAATACACATCAACCATAAAGAACTTGGAGTGTTAAAGGACTATTTAAGAGGCAGTGTTCATATAGGAATTTGGAAGAGGCAAAAGTTATTTAAGAGCAATGGGGCAATATGGTTAGAGGGCAGAGATCAGATTAAGCTTCAAGGAAGAAGCATTTTTAACATGTACTTTGGACATGTTATTAGGAGGGACCATTCCCTGGAGAAGGACATCATGCTTGGGTGTCCATTATGGGTCAGTGAAAAAAAGGAAGACCCTCTACGAGATGGACTGACACAGTGGCTGCAACAGTGGGCTTAAACATGGTAACGATTGTGAGGACCGGGCAGTGTTTTGTTTGGTTGTACAAAGGGTCACTAAGAGTCTGAGCCTACTCAATAGCACCTAACAACAGCAACAACAATGAAGGAATACCACCACTCGTCTGTCAGTTTGTCGTGCTGTGGTGGCTTGCTTTTTGCTGTGATGCTGTAAGCTACGACTCTGGTATTTCAAATACCAGCAGGGTCACCCATGGTGGACAGGTTTCAGCAGAGCTTCCAGACTAAGACAGACTAGGAAGAAGGACCTGGCAATCTACTTCTGAAAAACTTGGCCAGTGAACACCTTATGAATACCGTGGAACATTGTCTGATATAGTGTCGGAAGATGAGCCCCTCAGGTTAGAAGTCCCTCAAAATATGACTGGGGAAGAGCTGCCTCCTTAAAGTGAGTCAACCTTAATGATGTGGATGGAGTCAAGCTTTCGGGACCTTCATTTGCCGATGTGGCACAACTCAAAGTGAGAAGAAACAGCTGCAAACATCCATTAATGATCTGAACATGGAATGTACAAAGAATGAAAGTAGGAAAATTGGAAGTCGTCAAAAATGAAATGGAATGCATAACGATTGATATCCTAGGCATTAGTGAGCTGAAATGGACTGATATTGGCCATTTTGAATCAGACAATCATATGGTAAACTATGCTGGGAATGACAAGTTGAAGAGGAATGATGTCACATTCATCAAAAAGAACATTTCAAGATCTACTGTGAAGTACAACACTGTCACTGATAGGATGATATCCATACTACTACAAGGAAGACCAGTTAATATGAATGTTATTCAAACCAACCATTAAAGCCAAAGATGAAGAAATTGAAGATTTTTACCAACTTCTGCAGTCTGAAATTGATCAAACATGCAATCAACATGCATTGATAATTACTGGTGATTGGAATGCGAAAGTTGGAAACAAAGAAGGATAGGCAGTTGGAAAATACGGCCTTGGTGACAGAAATGACACGGGAGATCGTATGATAGAATTTGCAAGACCAACAACTTATTCATTGGAAATACCTTTTCTCAACAACGTAAATGGTGATGATACATGTGGAACTTGCCAGAGGAAATATATAGGAATCAAATTGACTACATCTATGGAAAGAGACGATGGAGAAGCTCGATATCATCAGTCAAAACAAGGCCAGGGGCCGACTGCGGTTGCTCACATGTAAGTTGAAGCTGAAGAAAACTAAAACAAGTCCACAGAGCCAAAGTATGACCTTGAATTTAGAGACCATCTCAAGAATAGATTCGATGCATTGAATACTAATGACCAAAGACCAGACGAGTTGTGAAATGACATCAAGGACATCATATTTGGAGAAAGCAAGAGGTCATTACAAAGAAAGAAAAGACCAAAATGGATGTCAAGAGACTCTGAAACTTGCTCTTGAACATAGAGTAGCTAAAATGAATGGAACAAATGATGAAGTCAAAGAGCTGAACAGAAGATGTCCAAGGGTGGCTCAAGAAGACAAAGTGAAGTATTACAATGAAATGTGCAAAGACCTGGAGTCAAAAACCAAAAGGGAAGAACACGCTCAGCATTTCTGGAGCTTGAAAGAACTGAAAAAAAATTTCAAGTCTCAAGTTGCGATATTGAAGGATTTTATGGGCAAAGGAGCCCTGGTGGTGCAGTGGTTAGGAGCTCGGCTGCTCACCAAAAGGTCAGCAGTTCAAATCCACCAGCTGCTCCTTGGAAACCCTCTGGGGCAGTTGTACTCTGTCCTGTAGGGTCACTAGGAGTCAGAATGGCCTCGATGGTAATGGGTTTGGTTGATTTGGTTTGTGAGGCTTTCATGGCACAACGCTCTTCAAGAAAAAAAGCACAGAAAATAGATTAACGGTAGCAAGTGTGTCTTACTTCTTCTAGAATCTCTAATTCCTCCTCCAGCTGCTGCGTCTCCTCCTTCACTGCCATAAGGTGATCTGTAACTGACTGTCGGGGCTGCATCCCCTTTTCAAAGCGGTTATACATGCCACTCCAAAACCTGGAAAGAATGGCAGGGCTTTATATGACAGCGCCATATCACCATCTGTACATTTCACACCCTCAGCTTCTCGAGAGTACCTCTGATACCACAGTCCCACAGTTCTCCTGTCAATAAGCCAAAGGATAAAACACAGCATACACCTAGACGCATACCTAGTAGGACCTGCAGGCTACCACACTGTGCTCCCCATCCCAATATACACAATCTTAATCTTTTTCCACAAGGGCACATCACTAGGACTTATTCAGTGGAGACAAGAAGGTGGACGTGCATGACTGTTACCTAAATTCAGGATTTCGCATTTAACTTACAAGGCACTTGATTTATTCACCTTCTTCCTTCTTCCCTCCCTCCCTCCTTCCCTCTTTCCCTTCCTTCTCTTTCTTCCTTCTTTCCCTCTCGCTTTTTAAAATAAATTAGAATTTGCATTTTTAAGATATTATAAAACATTTCATTCTGAAGAGAACTGTACATACGGGGGCAGACCTTTCACGTCACCGTTTCTGTGTGCAGCCAAGCACGCTGGGTACTGGTTGTCCCTTCCCACCTTCTAAGGGATCCTGTTTAGGAACCGGAACACCAAAATTGGCCACTAAGAATCAACACTCGCAAAGCCATAATCTGTTTGCTAGCTATAGAAACAAATCCAGTGTAGATCACTTAAAGAATTAACTGATTAAGGAGACTTCACTACACTTACGACCGTATAGTTTTAGTATTTAAAATCACTGTAAGCTAATAAAAGCTGCTACGGTTTGTAACTCCTCTAACAGGTTTATATGAGCCATAATCCACCTTGAACAGTTTTCCTGGCATTCAGATTTAGTATCATGAGTCCCTCAATCTCTAGTCTCTAATATTTGAATCAGCTAAAAAAGGCTCTGGTGGCGCAGTGGTTAAGAGCTACAACTGCTAACCAAAAGTTGGCAGTTCGAATCCACCAGCTGCTCCTTGGAGACCCTACGGGGCAGTTCTACTCTGTCCTGTAGGGTCTGATTAAGTAAACTTTACTCTGCCCTGTAGGGTCACTATGAGTCGGGATTGACTCGATGGCAACAGGTTTAAAAAAAGGGAAGGAAGGGAAAGACACGCTGGCAGAAACACCAGATCAGATATTCAGGCGTCCTCTCGTGTACTTGGTGTCCAAAAACCCTGAAAGCACAGTGTTCCATATGCTCCTGCCTCCACAGTATTAGGCAGTGACAGACTGAGTCCCTAACCACACGCAGTGAGAGCCTCACCACGCACAGTGAGGTCCTAGAGGTTGACGTACTTGTACAGGAAGTTGCATGGTGTCGTGGGAAGAGGAAGTGTTCCCTGGGTCTGACTGTGATCAGCTCTAAACAGAGGGTTCAGGTAGTCGGCTCGATTCTTCCACAGGTGAGCCCACAAAGAGTAGGTTCTTTCCTGAACTCTGTTAAAAAGAAAATTAGTCTGAAAATGACCTATGTTGGCTCTCAACAATAGCAGATATACAATATTACATCTGGAAAGGAAGCAGCAATTGCTATGTGAAAGTCAAGCGGCCCTGTTCTGTAGCAGAGAAATTTGCAGCCTTTACGGCTTCACGGTATAGCAGAAGAAAGTCGTGTGAGAGTCCCAGCTCCTCGGTGCTGGCCGCAACAAGCTGCGTAAGTCTTCTGGATAGACCGCTCTAGTTTTTCAGGTTGTTTCCCCAAATAATCACTGAACATTTATCATGTGCCACACAGTATTCTGTTTTTCACACGCTTTCTTCTTTCATTTAATCCTCACTGAATTCTGATGAGATGTGCCCGTTTTACAGATGAGAAAACAGACACAGAGATTAAGTAGCTTCCCAAGGTAACAGCTACTGAATGGAAAAGTCGGACTAAAAACCCAGGCAGTATCATTAGAATTGGCTTGTCTAGCACAAGAGACCACAAAGTTGTGTCTAGGCCAACAGCTGACCTTACAGAATGTACTCAACAGCTGACCTTACAGAATGTACTCTGCTACTTTTAAATCCGTGTATCAGGGATCACTCTTGAAAATTCTTGGAGAAAATGGAAACTAGTATCCTCCAGAAAAAGTAGTTTTTGTTTTGCTCACCTCGGTCAATATAAAACTACTAGAGTGTATTTTATCTTCACTGATGGTTTGCAAAATTAAATCCGATAGTATTGTATACACCACAGTTAAAATCATTTTTTTGGAAAATTTCAAAACTGTTCTTGCACTTCACACATCACTTTGTTTCTGTTTTTTACTTCATACTTTCTTTTAAAGCCACAGCTTAACATACTTTTTCCCTCTGGATAAAAGGGATGCAGTTTTGTATCTGAACAAACATTGGCTTGCGTTTCAAACGTGCCTTCCTGGTTACATTTGCGATTCTTATAACAAGAGCGTATCTATCAAAGATATCTAACTTCTTCTTCTAAATGCAAAAATCGCTTTCTCTGACTCCAGGAATTTTCTTTGAAGTCCACCACCCTTCTATGAGGATCAGGCAGAAACACGGAAAAAAACAGAACCCCTATACACCTCTGTCAGTCTATGACATTTAAGCTACTTATGAAATGATGTCAGAAGAAGAAACGAACCTTAAGTCAAATAATCTTTCCAAATTATGACAAGCCATCTAAAAGTCTCAATCATCAATATCTTCAGATACAAATTAGACATCAAAACACTTACTTGAGTTCTTGTCTCTCCTTCTGACTGTTACCTAGGAAGTTTCCGAACTGGCAGGAATAAATGTGATGTTGGATGTGAATCAGAAACCTCTCATTGAACTCAAAGGCACAGGGAAACTGTTCCATCAGCTGCCAGACACATTCAATGAACTGGTCAACCACTGGGGAGATCTCCTTTGGGTCAGCATCTAGATTGCCGTATCTAGAAAACAGCGTATTAGAGACTGTAAAGCAGTTTTTAAAAAATGATTATTATAAAGCTATAAATGCAAAAATGATTATAAAAAGCAACCCTAATTTCTAAATGGGGCCCTGGTGGCACAATGATTAAGAGCTAGGCTGCTAACCAAGGGTTCGAGTCCACCAGCCACTCCTTGGAAACCCTATGGGGCAGTTCTACCCTGTTCCAGAGGGTCCCTGTGAGTCGCAACTGAGTCGACGGCAACGAGTTAATTTCTAAATAAATGTTAGAAACTTGGAAAGAAGACGTTGAAAAAAACAACTCTCTTTAAATTCCAATATCAAGAGAACCATCCTTCCAAAGGTCTGGAGAGAGAAGGGGCGTGTTCATGTTATCATGCTACAAAAGAAAGTGCTGAGGACAGAGCCTTGGTGGCACCGTGCTTAAGGGCTCGGCTGCTAAGCAAAAGGTTGGCGGTTCAAACCCACCAGCTGCTGTGCGGGAGAAAGATGTGGCAGGCTTGGAAACCCTATGGGGCAGTTGTACCCTGTCATATAGGGTCACTGAGTTGGAAGGGACTTGATGACAATGGGTAGTAGTAATGGGGAGAGTGGAAAGATATATCTAAGCAACTTGAGAGTTTTTGATTTTTGTATTGTTCGGTTCTAAAGGGATGAGGAAGAAAGACAAATAACAAAAAAAAAACAAAAACAAAAACAAAAACGAAGTGACCCAAATTTCTAGGGCTATTTCTTTCTGGAGCACAGTTCGGCTTGTCACATAGTTTATTTCCATGTTACCACGAATTCCACCTATCTTTATACTATGTATCTTAGTCATCTAGTGCTGCCCTAACAGAAACACCACACGTGGATGGTTTTAATGAAGAGAAGTTTATTTCCTCACAGTCAAAGTAAGCTAGAAGTCCAAATTCAGGGCGTCAGCTCCAGGGGAAGTCTTTTTCTCTCTGTCGGCCTTCTCATCAATGTTCCCCTGGACTAGGAACTTCTCGGCGCAGGGACCCCGGTCCAAAGGACGCGCTCTGCTCCCAGCACTGCTTTCTTGATGGTATGAGGTCCCCCTGTCTCACTGCTCACTTCTGTCTTTTATATGTCAAGAGATTGCCTCAGGACACAATCCAGTCTTGTAGATCAGGTCCTGCCTTACTAACACAACTGCCACCCATCCTCCCTTGTAACATCATAGAGGCAGGTTTACAACATACAGGAAAATCACACAGTACCAGGAATCATGGCCCAGCCAAATCGATACACACATTTTTGGGGGGACATAATTCAAACCATGACAGTATGTCTTTATCAGAATCAACTTCCTGATGTGTACAGTGAGTTTTCAATGAAGACCGCCTATAGCCCTTTACACTATTACAGGATTTTTAGGAGGAATCCCAAAGGGTTATTTGGGTGCCAGAAAAGAGAAAATAATATAAACCCTCACATTCTCAGCAATGGATGATCAACCTTGGAAATAAAAAGCAATGATCAATATAAGTTCTCCCAAGAGTGGAAACATTCAGAGTGGTCTGGAAGCTTCTTCTCAAACGTTTCAGCTCTACTCACCTTGGGAGCTGTGGAAAGATCTGCTTGATTTACTCTCCTGGCGACGCTAACAACCATCCAGCCAGTCTTCAGTCATCTCCTGACTCAGTTTCCTCTCTCTGAACCCTAACTCCTAGCAGACAGCAGGACCCCACAATGCGAAGTAGCTATGTCTTCAGAAGGTTACTAATTGTTTGGGGGCTTTAATTTTCTCATTTTTAAAATGGGATTACTGTGTTTTCCTGGAAAAATGTTATTATAAAAATAGAATCCCGAAAACTATATGGTGATGGTCAATTGATGCTAAATGTAAAAACTACAAATATATATATAAGCAGTTCCGTGAACCTAGGATTTATTTAAGGGAAATACATTGAAACAGTTGAAAATGGATATCTAGGTCTCGGAGAACATCTAGCTCATCTGGCATAACAATTTATAAAGAAAATGTTCTACATTCTACTTTGGTGAGTAGTGTGTGGGGTCTTAAAAGCTTGTGAGTGGCCATCTGAGATACTCCACTGGTCTCACCCTGTCTGGAGCAAGGGATAATGAAGAAAACCAAAGACATAAGGGAAAGATTAGTCCAAAAGACTAATGGATCACAACTACCACAGCCTCCACCAGACTGAGTCCAGCACAACTAGATGGTGCCCGGCTACCACCACTGACTGCTGTGACAGGGATCACAACAGAGGGTCCCAGACAGAGCTGGAGAAAAATGTAGAACAAAATTCTGACTCACAAAAAAAAGGCCAGACTTACTGGTCAGACAAAGACTGGAAAAACCCCAAGAGTATGGCCCCCGGACACCCTTTTAGCTCAGTAATGAAGACACTCCTGAGGTTCACCCTTCAGCCAAAGACTAGACAAGGCCCCTAAAAAAACTGAGACTAAATGGGCATACCAGCTCAGGGGTAATGACTAGAAGGCAGGAGGGGACAGAGAAGCTGGTAATGGGGAACCTAAGGCTGAGAAGGCGATAATGTTGATATGTTGTGGGGTTGACAACCAACGTCACAAAACAATATGTGTACTGATTGTTTAATGAGAAGCTAATTTGCTCTGTAAACCTTCACCTAAAGTACAATAAATATATACATACATATATATATATATAAAGGAAAAAAAATGGATATCTAATTAAATTATTAACATGCTGCCTAAATTTACATTTCAGCACCAAAAGACTAAATCGATTCACTGCCCTGGTGGTGCAATAATTAAGAGCTCAGCTGCTAATCAAAAGGTAAGCGGTTCAAATCCACCAGCCGCTCCTTGGAAACCCTATGGGGGCAGTTCTACTCTGTCCTATGAGGTCGCTATGAGTCGGAATTGACTCCGTGGCAACAGGTCTGTAGCGCACGGGTCAGGCATTATTATCACCAACACCAACAAAAGGAGGCTGGTGGCTTCAAAAACAATGGTTGCCGTTGACTCCGACTCATGGTGACCCCATGTGTGTGACAGGAGAGCTCTGCTTCACGGGGTTTGATGGCTTATTTTTCAAAAGTAGATCACCAGGCACCTCTGGTGGACTCCAACCTCCAACCTGTCAGTTAGCCACTGAGCGTGTTACCATTTGCACCACCTAGGGCCTCCCCAAAAACAATACTTCCATTTATTGAGAGCTGTTCTGTGGGCCAGGCATGGAGCTAGGCTAGTTCCATATACTCTTTTTTTTTTAATCCTTGCTACAACCCTATGGAAGAGGGAAGTAACCCCCATTTCACAGAAGAGAGACAAGTTCAGAGAGGACAGAGGTTCACACAGCTAGTCAGTGCCCAGTCCGGGTTTAAAGTCAGATCTGTCCGTCTCCAAAGCCTGAGCTGCTTCCCGCACGGCCGCTCAGAGACACCCAGGGAAAACGTCCACCTACAGCACAAATGCTTTAGAGCCGGCTCAGTGTAACTCCCACTGTGAAAAGTCAAAGAGAGTGTTCCACAAGCATTCCATAACTGTGGCTTACGGTGAATGCTGCTCGTTACTCATTCGCACTTCTGTGAGGGAATGTCTTATTAAAATCCTGTGTGTCTGGTAGGAGGAAGGGGCAGCTTTTCCTTTCAAGGTCTAGAACACGCACTCTGGGTCTCCACTGGAGCAATTTAACATTAGTTCAAAAAAAAAAAAAAAAAAAAAACTCGTTGCAGTCTAGTCGACTCACAGCGACCCTACAGGACAGAGTAGAACTGCCCCAAAGGATTTCTAAGGAGCGGCTGGTGGATTCGAACGGCAGACCTTTTAATTAGCAGCCAAGCTCTTAACCACTGCGCCGCCAGGGCTCCATCATTAGTTTAGTTCTGCCCAACTGACACCAACAGTAGTCAGAGTTAGAAGCTCCTTCAGCTGTGATACAATGTACACAACAGACACCACTGGGCTTTCAAATAAGATACACTCGGTAAGAACTCTTGAACAAGTAAGGCTATTTCTTCAGACAATTGAAAACTTCAGAATCAGATGGTTTTTATCATAAATGTTCAAAACAACCGCTTTTTTAATATTCTTACCTGTGATTAAACTTATGACCAAAGGAAATCCAGTCCTTTTCAATTAATATCTACAAAAGAAAGAACATAAGTCCCATGGAGAGAAGCAAACGAGAAAAAAAAGAGCACAACCAATTACAGGGTTCAGAGGTATCTGCAGCAGAAGCCACCACCCTTGGGGTAACCTGCAAATGAATGAGCACGCATTATTCAGGAATATAGAGGACATATCTGAAGGGTGAAGTTGAAGGTCATCCACAGGAAAAATAAATGGTTAAGAACACATGCATGAAAATGTAATAATCCCTCCCACTGAGGGCTTTCTACGCACCAGGACCTAAGCACCTGCACATATTGCTTCATATTTATGACCTCATTTAATTGTGGAATGCATATTATTAGCATTCCCATTTTACAGAAAGGGAGACTGAAGCAAAGAGATTAAATACTCGGCTACGATCATGCTACTAGGGAGCGGGGGACGCCACCACACAGCCTAGCTCTCTTAACTCCAAAGCCCATCTCTTAACCAATATGTGATGCTGCTTCTCAGTGTAATGTAATATACCAACCTTCCTTACAAGAAACAGACAGGAATGTTTTCCAGTAATCTTTACTACACGTTAGAAGAATCCTAAAATAATGGGGGTTTGGAGTGTATTAGAAGTTTCAGCCCTGCTTTGAAATTTTAGGGTTAACACGAGTTTATAGTCTCCAGAAATCTGGATGCAAAAAAAATTTTTTTAATCAATAAGAATAGTCTCATTGATATAACCAATGCTCTGAAATGGACCGCGGTTTCCCCTAAATAAAAAAAAAAGTCACAGGGCCAATTATTGTACTTGCTGCCAACAAGCTGTGGCATTTTGTGTGGGTCCTGGGTTTAATGGGACAGAATCAGAATGAGTCAATGGCAGAAAAGGGTGGTGAAACAGGTGGAAATGAGGTCAAGACAAAAAGACAGAGTGAGGCCCGTGTTCGCGTATGCCTGGGACTCTTCATTTGCCAGATGTAAATGATGATCTCAGGAGAGGGGTCTGGAGAGGAGGGTCACTCTAAGTCTCAGTGCTGTCACAGATAACTGGAAGTTCTCTGACACATTGATTAAAAAAAAAAAAAAGCCCAAGAAGGGAAACTTGCCTCTTCTCTCTTGCCCCCAGAATGCTAGCTTGTCAGCTGACATGATCTGAGAAAGGAGTAGATCCAGCAGTGAAGACACCCCGTTAGGCCTCCTCTGTCAGTTATCTGTCCCTCGCATGGATTCAAGACCCACTGAAGCCCTTCTACCAAGCCATGGTTCAAGAGGTGCCAGGCCATCCTCTGTCCCTAGGGAGTCCTTGCTGTCTCTTTAAGACAACGGTCCCAGCTTAGCCACAGCTCCGCCATTCCGGGCAACTACACACACAGTTTGTGGTGTGTCTGAATGGAAGCAACACGTCACAGTTCAATGTGTACCTAAAAGGAGCACCATCCGGGAGAGGTCATTTCAGCCAAGAACACAAAACCTATGAAGTTTTCAGTATTCTCACCCAGAGTTGTGAAGGACTTCTTAAAGAAATAAAAGCTAGAAATGAAAACAGTTTTTCCATGCAAGGTCTTTGTTATTGCTGGAATTGTGTCCCCTAAAGAAGTGTTAGAATTCTAACCCCTATACCTGTGGATATAATCCTGTTTGGGAATACAGTTTTCTTTGTCATGTTAATTAGGTCATACCCAAGTAGCCAAACCAAATCAAATCCATTGCTGTCAAGTCGATTCCGACTCATAGTGACCCTGCAGGACAGAGTAGAACCGCCCCACAGGGTTTCCAAGGAGCAGCTGGTGGATTTGAACTGCAGACCTTTTGGTTACCAGCCATAGCTCTAACCATTGCGTCACCAGGGTGGATTCTAAATCTGATCACGTCTGAGTTATACAAACAGCAGATTGGACACAGAGTCACACACAATCGTGGGGGGAAAACAGACACCACGTGAGGACCGCCAAGGATCCAAAGAACACGTGGGACGTGGACAAGGAAGGAGCTGACAAGGCAAGACCCTGGTTTGGACTTTCAGCCCCCAGAAGTCTGAGAAAACAAGTTTCTCTTCTTTAAAGACACCCACTTGTGGTATTTGTGTAACAGCAGTACTAACAAATGAAAACAGGATTTTTGCACACAAAATATAGATTTTTTTTCTCCAAATATTTTTTCGGAAAATTGTTTTGTTACACATTCACATATCATCTAAAACTTGAAATATTTAAGAGCAAATGATGTATAAAACTCACTATCTTACAAACTACTAAATATATTTTATATCGGCCCCCAAATTCATTTAATAGTGTGGATCTGAATTGGTTTCAACATCCCAGAAGGTCCCCTCTATATCCCAAGGTTATCTCACCTTTTCCTATTTAGTTATCCCTGCTGTTCTCCTACTAAGAGAAAAATAACATTGATCAAAATTTTTTTTTAAAGTTGCCACTAGTTGCCCAAAGAGAGGCCCATTAGGGTTCAAGGCGCTGCCTGTAAAGCCGGAGCACCGGGCGGCCACTCACCATGAAGCCCTTCAGAGTCCGGTAGTAAGGATCCAGCAGGAGGCTGGCCACCGAGCACACCTGTGCCGTCCTATCCCAGCCATCAGAACAGTGAACAAGCACGCTTACTCCTTCCTCGGAAACTGCCTAAAAACACAGGGGCAGCGAAGAGTCACAGACAATGGAGTGAAAGGACAAAAATCTCTCATAAGAACTAGGCTTGGTTTCTACACTCACACAACGAAACTGGCCAGAGCAGCAAAACAAAAGCCATCCGCTCATTCATTTCGTGTTTGTTACCCACCCAGTCGGGGAAGAGCCAAGAAGTGCTGGCGAGGCGGCCAAGGCTTTACTTGCCCTTCTCATTATATCCAGGACACATCCCCCTGGCCACCCTCCACTCTCCCTCCCCTCCAGCTCGCCACCTCATGCCTTTGTCATCAGTCCAATCCATTGCCAAAATGGAAAAGGCACAAACATTATAAAACCCTGAAGTTAGAAACAAGGGGATAAGAGCCAAGTAATGGGTCCTGAGTGGAGAAGACAAAGGAAAAAATGATACCAGAAAATATCCAGGAAAGGAATTTCTATTTGCTATTGCAAATGAGCACACCATTTTGAGCATCTCGAGTATCTTGGCAGGCAACATAAATTGGGAAACATGGTGGCAACCTCATCATGTTATCCTTGACTCTGAGATTCTATATCTACTCATTTATGCGTCTTCTGTCTGCCATAGCAGAATACAAGCTCATGAGGGTAGAGACTTGATCTGGCTTATCCAGCTTGGTATCCTTGCACCTAGAACAGTGCCTGGCACTCAATCAATATGTGTTGAATAAATGAATTATTTAATAAAGGGAAGCATATAACGTCTCTTTGGGTCCAAATCAGAGGAATTCATAAAAGGACACCGAACAAGCAGATGGACAACGCATTCGGTAATAGCTTATACGAAGTCTGCAGCAAGATCTGCCCTATGGCAGAAAAGAATCCACCCACCAGCTACAAGAACATGGCTTTTGCTTATGCCATGATTAACATGGATGAATCCATTTACTAAGATCTAGGCAACAGGCAAGTGCGCAAGAGTTAAGCTCTCGGCTGCTACTCGAAAGGTCTGCGGTTTGAACCTACCAGCCACTCCACGGGAGAAAAGACCCGGCGATCAGCCTAGGAAACCCTATGGGACAGTTCTGCTCTGTCATATAGGGTTGCTATGAGTCGGAATCGGCTTGACAGCACACAACAAGAACAAGGCAACAGGTACGTATCACACTGAGTGACTCACATTTGGTTGTTCCCTGGGAGGAGAAATGTCTTTTCTCCTCCCAGGACCAAGCCTAGCTGAAGACAGAATATTCGGCAGATATTTTACTGTTTGCTGCACTGACATACTATCAGCTAAGCACCATCCCAAACCTGTTGCCATGGAGTCAAATTCCAACTCATAGCGACCCTATAGGACAGAACAGAACTGCCTGCATAGGGTTTCCAAGGCCTTGGTGGCACAGTGGTTAGGAGCTCAGCTGCTAACCAAAGGTCGGCAGTTGGAATCCACCAGCCGCTCCTTGGAAAACCTATGGGGCAGTTCTACTCTATCCTATACGGTCGCTATGAGTTGGAATCGACTTGACAGCAATGGTTTTTTTTGTTTTGTTTTGTTTTCAAATCTTTACGGAAGCAGACTGCCACATCTTTCTCCCAAGGAGTGGCTGGTGGGTTCGAACCACCAACCTTTTCAGTTAACAGCCAAGGGCTTTAACCATGCACCACCAGGGCTCCTGCTGAGCACTATACTCTGGAAAAATCAAATCTTCTCATGGCAAACTAGGCGGAGGCCTGCAGAGCCCACCACCCTCTCAGGGTAGCCCGCGGGAAGGAAACTAGATCTTCTTTCTGAAGTCAAGTACACTTGCCGCACTGCCCGGATTTCTTCTCTCTGCCGTCTCATTCATACCTTTGCGAGGAAGATTCCTGCATCCATGATGGCCTTGATGTGCCTTAACCAGCCAGAGTTCTCCAGTCCCCACAGGAACTCACTCATCGAGGGAGATTTAAGCTCACACACTGCAAAATAAATCGGGTTATAAGAACGAAATAAAGGTGACAGCTCATTTTTCTGCAGGCAGCTGATGGATGATTCTTCTCTTGCAGTCTGCATATTCCGGGCGGAAGACTCAAGTCAAGATGAAAGCCCAAACTTACCAAAATTGCTTCTATTGAACCATTTCAAGTTGTCTACCTTCTTGGGGCCCTGGTGGCACAGTGGTTAAGAGCTTGGCTGCTCACCAAAAGGTCAGCAGTTCAAATCCACCAGCTGCTCCTTGGAAACCCTATGGGGCAGTTCTACTCTGTCCTATAGCGTCGCAGTCGGAATCGACTCGACGGCAACAGTTTTTTTTTTTTTTTTGGTTTGGTCACAGGGGACACTGAATCTGTTTAGAAGTACCCTGATTATATTTGTAAAGTGTAAATTCCCAATATTAATGAAAATCATTGAATGCTATACCATAGTAAAGGCCCCGAAGAGAACATCTGTTTTCTCTTCCAGTAAAGACATTCAAAAGGGGCCTCTTAGGAGCACTTGAGTTAAAGAGTGTTATGGAGGGAAAAAAAAAAATCATATAAACAACTCGGTCATCTAGCACTTTCCCAATTAAAACTCTCTATCACTCAACCACTTCAGATTATAACAACTGTAAAATACAACTATCCTCAAAATCTCAAATGGGAACGATCAAACTCTCCTTGCCAACAACCCCACATCCGATGAGAGCAAAGCGTGTGAGGTTAAAACTGAGGTCCTAGACTTCTGAACCTCTTTTAAGGCATCAAGTTAGGTGTTTGTTCTTCCACTTCAAATGAAGAAAACCTAGGATCCTAATAACATCTAGATTTATACAGCTAAGGCAGGTGTGTAACACTTCTATAATATTATCATAAGTAACTTTCATCTAGAGAGCTAATCATTTATTTAACATAAAGCATTATTATGGGTTGAACTGAGTCCCCCAGAAAGATGCGTTTGTAAGTCCTAACCCCTATACCTGTGGAGAAGCCCTGGTGGTGCAGTGGTACAGAGCTTGGCTGCTAACCAAAAGGTCGGCAGTTCAAATCCACCAGCCGTCTTAGGAAACCCTATGGGGCAGTTCTCCTCCACCCTATAGGGCCGCTGTGAGTCCGAATCCACCTGGCAGCAACGGGTTTGGATTTTTAGATTTTGTTTAGACATAATTCCTACAACAGAAAACCCACTTATTTAAAGTTTATAGGTACATTCACAGAATTCTGCATTCATCACCACCACCCATTTTAGAACACTTTCATCACCCAATAAGAAAGCCCACTCCTCTTAGCCACCACCCCCAGGCCCTCTACCCACCCAGTCCTCGTCGCCATGCCTGTTCTGGCACTTCACATAAATGGGATTCTCCAGCACGTGGGCCTTCAGGACGAGCTCGTTTCACTTAGCAGTGTTTTCAAGGTTCATCCACGCTGTAGCCTGTGGCGGCTGACGAACAGTCCATCCTGGGTACAAGCGCGCAGGCGCCGCCTTCCCTGCCCCGCCGGGCAGAGACCTGTCCTGGTGACGCTGCCGACAATACCGGCCAGGCCCTCCGAGCGGCAGGCTCGCTCTTCCCGCGCACCGAGCCCAGCGGGCAGTAGCCGGGAAATTCCAGCACCCTAAGTGAGCTCTCGCCACTCCCAGGGCGCCTGCTGTCTGGGCTTTCTGTCCAACCCAGGCCATGACCCGAAATGTTCGACTTAATCCTAAAATATACACATTCCACTGTGTGCAAGCTTGGGAGTCAACTGATTCCTTTAAACCTACATTCTCCTGCAAACGGTCAAACTTGCAGGTTATTATTGTAGGGCTTGAAGCTAGTTCGGATTCTCGTCTATTTTAAAAAGTCCAGGGAGGCTGAGGAATAGCTTGGCATCCGAACTCTGAAGCTCAGCCCAAGGACAAATGAGCCTTTTCACCTTCTCTTGCCACCAAGCGTGGAAATGACAGCAAGTTTAAAAATAAAGACACAGGCCTTTCCGGCTAACCTGGAGTCGGCCTGGGCCAAAAGCAGGGGAGAGAGGGCAGCTCTCAGAACAAGGCCCTAAAACACACTGCTAGAGAGAACATCCCAGCGCTTCCCTTTCCGTTTTAGCTTACACAGCAAGGGTAAGCTAAAGGAGCAGCGAACCTCCCCCCGCATCTGCGCCTTTCTTCTGCGCTCAGAACGCTTCCTGTTGAACGTTTCTGTTTTCAGGAGCGTTAAGTCGTGAACGCTAAGTAAAATAATCTCACCAGGCTTTTAAGCCACGTAACAGCCGAAAGGGTATTTTCCGCCTCATGCAGAGTGGCTGTGTTAAAAGCAAACAGCTTTTCAGATGATTAATTCGCACGGACAGATGGGGGTACGCTTGAGGCTGAAACAATTAATGCCTCGATTTTTCACTACAAAACGGTTGGGTTTGTTTGGATAAACTCAGGAGAAGGCAGGAATACCGATTTGTTCACTCCTGTTGCCAAACCCAAACCAATATTTACAAACCATTTTGCTGAACAAAGTTCATTTTAGCCGACATCAGCAGCATATGCCACAGATGACAGAGAAACATACACTAACTGGGAGTTTAAAGCCCAGTTCTGGCAATGTTCATTTTATATAAAAGAGAATCCCATAACATACATAAACCACATTAAAAAAAAAAAAAAGAAAAAAGGATATGTAATTTTGGAGTCTGAGGACATGTGGAATTTACCGAGAAGATAAGCCTCAGATGGTCTTCCTTAGCTATTTCCCACACCCACCTCATTTCTTCGTATACCGTCGCTGGGCAGGGGTCACTGAGGATGCAAAGAACGTTTCCATTTGAACCCTGTGGGATTGGTCCTTCGTGGACAGTAAGAGCTACAGTTGAAATGTATATAGCCCTGGCCTTAATTACTAGCCTGGCCCACATCGGAATCCTACTCATGTTTGAATTGTCTCCTTCTCGTGTTGGAGTCAAGAAGCCCAATGAGATGGTCTTCAAAGAACTGGCAAAATGGCCATCTCCCTTCATTGAATACTCTAGCAGGGGAAACCACACAAAGAGGACTTAATTATGGCCAGGCAAATGGAAATTGTTAGTTATACCTGTTTTGTAATCTCTCTGTCTTACGTAGAGTCCACCATGGTGGCCCAGAAGAAACTTCTGAGCTCAGCTGTGAATTGTGTTCAATTTATTAATGTTGGTGGTGCCCCACCCGTCACCCATGACAACCAACATGGACCCTCTTTACAGAGAACTTGACCTTAACTGCAGGGATTTGTATGTTAGATTCTCCACAGGACACCAACAAGATTAAAGATTATTCTTTAAAACAATGCAGCCATTTTGAAAACTATGATTTTTTTCTGGAATCTTTACACAATTTATAAAGCCACGGAAGCCATTTGTGTATAGCCTTGTTTTCTTTTAAAGAATGATGATAATATAAAATTCTAAGATGGGATCAATCCTAAATTCTGTATCCCTGTGTTAGAATTACTTAAGTTTGTAGCATAGGAAATAGTATAAACGCACACACACACACGTATATATGTATAATATACACTGTATATAATATACCCCAAAACCCACTGCCGTTGAGACGATCCCAACTCATAGCGACCCTACAGACAGAGAAGAACTGTCCCACTGGGTTTCCAAGGAGCAGCTGGTGGATTCCAACTGTCAACCTTTGGTTAGCAGCTGAGCTCTTAACCACTGCACCACCAGGGCTCTGTGTATACATCAGCTACTAATAAACATGTATGTGTATATGTAAATGTATATGTAGACACATACATATGTTCCAGTAATACTAATTACCACTGACCTAAAGCAAATGAAGCAGCAGGTTCACAAAAGAATCCTCTGTTAGCATTTATTAGCTTTGCATGGGAATTTTGTGTCTAAAAACAAATCCACAGTATCTGATGGTAACTTGTGCTGTCTTACCCTTAACATGTTTAAGAACAGTAAGGTGTAAATAATAACTGGTGGGTCATGTGAAAATTCTGCAGCAAACAAATTAAAAAGTACATCCATTTATATTACCTCTACTATATGCAAGGCGCAGGGCTTGGTGGTTTTCTCTCAATGACCTTTCCAGATCTTCCATCTATGGAAGGTGTAATTATCTTCACTTAAAGAAGAGGAATGTTGCATCGCAAGCATTGTAATATACATCTAGGTCTCCTGACTCCAATTTCTGCATTATTTCCACTACAAACCCATTGCTGTCGAGTCAATTCCGACCCATAGTGACCCTACAGGACAGAGCAGAACTGTCCCATTGGGTTTCCAAGGAGCTGCTGGTGGATTCGAACTGCCGACCTTTGTTTAGCAGCCGAGTCTTAACCACTGCGCTACCAGGGCTCCATTTTTTCACTACAAGTAGGGAATAATTAAAAGTCAACACAGAAACTAAGGCAGGACAAACAGGAACTGAATAAAAGGTAGGGTTTAAGGAATGAAAAAGTGGAAACAGGAAACTTAAGGCAAATGGAAAAAAGGAAGTTTAGACTGGGAGAAGACAAGGGTGTCTGAGAGGCTGGGAAGTCTGGGGTGGATGCAGAAGACATTACTGGTGGGCTAGGAGATAAGACTGGGAATCAGGTGAGATTAAGAAGGTGTTGGCAGCAAATAACTGAAGGGGTGAAACAGGCAGCATTCGCAGCCAAGGATGTAGACAGAGGTGGGCGCTCATTCCGTGCTCACCACACCAGCTGGAGGGAGCTGCCAGGACCAACACGCTCACCGAATTTCAGGCCGTATTGTCACTGGCAAGCGCACTTTTTCATGTTTGAAATACTATAATTTTATGGAAATTAGCTACTAAAATTAGTCCCGTCTACGTTTAGTTTCATGGAATAAGCTGCCGTCTACATAATGAGTGAAAATCACTCATAGCCACTCACCCAAAAACTCACCATCACCGTTAACAAACAGTAATTCTGAGGGTGAAAACTGTTTCATCAGTCTTTGAATCACCTCAGTGAACTGCAAGATAGAGCAAAATTAGGATACCAGGAGCCACTCAT